GGGGGGGGGGGGGGAAGACACCATCCAACAAAGCTTCGTTATATACACGCGAGACAAGAGTGGAGCATTCGGGGTGGTCAAGTATGAGTCGCAGAATCTCGTATGGAAATCCGTCAGGACCAGGGCTACTGGCATTGGGGGATCGAGAGGATTGTAAATATTAAAAAAAAAGGTATTTTTTTTACAAGTACTTTGTCATAATAATAATCCCGGCGTTCTATTTTGTAAAACATATGTTACGTTGTGTTAGTAAAATATAGAATTCTTCGATCAACATGCTTCCCATTCAATTTTCGATTTAGAATAACAATGGAAGGCTAATAGCTCTCAAGAAACGCTAACATTATCTACTAATTGCTGTAGAGGTACCTGATTTGTCTTCATAGACCTGAGCGTTTTTAAAGGTGAGGGGTTCAATCATACATATATGAAAATTCAATTGATAATTAAAAGCAATGTATCTATAGTTCTACTTCAATATAGCTTAAGGTTGTTTTCTTACATTAAAAAAGTTAACTCCAAACGGTCTATAAAGATTTTTATATTGTCACACTTTCAAGTGAAAATATTCGTAACACAATAAATATAAGGCCCTGCCTTACATGGAATCTACATATATAATAAAGTAAAGATCTGCGAGAAAAATCTACCCGAAAATCTGGGTAATTGAGTGGGACTAGGGTGTGCAATTCAAGAAAGAAAGAGATAACGCAAATTTTTATAGATTCAATCAATTTTATACTTGAAATATATAACTGCTAAAACGTGTATATGTATGTATACTCAATTAGATAACCTGAAAAAAAATTGACTGGCTTTACTAAAGTATGCTTCTTCCAACCTACATTAACTATTAGCAGTATTAGTTGTTTGAATTAATATGAGTTATTAATTCACTAATATAGGCCATTGATGGTCAATCGATGTACAAGTTATTAATACGATTCCATGAGTACACAATCAGTGTAAAATGGGTTTACAAAGCCAGTTTAGTTTGTACCCATAATTTGAGTAACATTATTATTTTCATTGGCTTTTGATTTATTGCCTCTAATGTCTTAGTTACTCAAGTAACATAATCCCTGGTATTGGCGAATATTTCCTTTATAGAAGTGACAATGAAAACGATTTCTAATACCAAAATACTAGAAAAATGATTTGGTTTCTTTATTATCATTGTAGTTAACTAGGATCTACCGTTCCTTGTATACAAAATGATTAGTATGTTTTTGGTTTTTGGTTGGCTGGTTGACTGGTTGGTATTACTGTGTTTAATACAATAGAGTAACTGTAAATAAAGCACAACTTAAATTATGTTACATATTTTGTTAAATTACCTGATATTCTTATATTTATTCTCTCGCACACCCATACAGCCCACACAGTACAGTAATGCCTATAAAAGGGCAAGAAAAAACTTGAATAGACCGGGTGTTTCGGATAAGGGGAAAGCATATGATCCCAGAATATTGTTTTTTCTTCTTCTACATAAAATCAATTGAATGCTCAAGGGCTCCTATTTGTTACTATTTTACATTGAAAACAAACATGCTACAGGTCAATTGATCACATACACACATATATATATATATATAATCTAAGCATATGCTGACTAAAAGAATATGTCTTAAGCACCAATATTATCCTTGTTATATATATATATCCATGTGTATATAAAAACAAGAAAAAAGAAGTTTTTGAATTGATTTTTGATTTTGTTTTTTAATCAAGTTTCATTAATTGTATCTTTAGGACCCTTATTTACCATTCCATTTCGGCACTTGTAAGGTTATTCCTTTACATTAATAGAGCTTTGTATTATGTAAATAAAGACAATTGTACACAAAATATGCTTTGTGAACATAATCCCAAACTATAGAACATTATAAGCACCATTTGATTAATACTCACGACCAACAAATGTAATCTTACATATTAAATATTAAATAATACGTAGAATTTATTTTGCATATAACCGAACACTCAAACCAAAGATTAGAAAATCTATAGATAATGATATTCTTAAGAATAGTATATTATTTACTTTGACTTAAGAGAGCCATTAGGCTATTTTAATAATAATAAATGTATAGGCATGCGAATAATGAAAACCTTCCTTTATTTATATTTTTATGTAAAAATGAAATTTAACTATGCTGTATTTTTGAAATATTTTATTTAAATACTTATTCCAAGTCATTATTTTAATGGAATCTTTGAATTTTGACAGATACTTGAGCAAGCATACACTATGCTTGTGAGTCTTGAACTTTCAGGAGATTATCAATGCTCAGTTCCGGAAAGAAGAAAGCGATCTCATTCTTTGCAGTTTCATCGGAGTCTACGTATTTAACCAAAAAAGAAAAAAGTTATACCTTGGCCAAATAGGAGCCTATTTATATTACCTGAACCATGGAACGAATTGCGGGTATCTGACAATCCATAAAGTGCTCTCAGAGTTGTAGGTTGATGAATTCTTGCTCTACCAGCGATTGTCAATATCTCTTACCCTTGCTATTATTTTAAAAACATTCTAATTACCGGCATGGATGAGTTGGTCCTATAAGTGCGCGCCATTCCTTAATGGCATCTGGTGAAGACAAAACTAGAGCTTGGAAAGGCCCACTAAAAGAAATGTATATATATATGGAATATTAGCATGCTAATTTAATTTTGTATATTTTTCTCGGCTTGCCTTGTCATATAACCGCACAGACGGTCGTAAAAGAATTTTCCTTTGTGTTCTGCATAGAATGCACCTGCTTCTTCTTTTGTCCACAGAACAGGGCGTTGGCTTACAATTTTAATATTCTGAGCCTCGATGGCTTCATGAACTCGCACTTGCAATTTTTGACTAGCACAAATGTCTGGCTTTAACAAGGCTAATGTTAATTGCCTCTTTACGGCATGAGTAATGGGAGTCATGAAGACGATCAAGTAAACATTATTTTTTTGTTATTATATTATACTGTATTTAAATTTTGTAAGTTTCTTGGTCTTGATTCTCCGCGCACTTTCTTCATTTGTTATATTTTTTATTTTTATTTGAATATAAATATAAATATATACATGCTCTTATTCATATTGTTGATATTGTAGTTATAAGTATGATTTGTTTTTAGGTCATTTTAATTTGGTATCCAAACCTTGGGTTTCTTTTTATTCTCTTTCTTGAAGACACCCTATTCGTATTCTAACTCGTCAAGCTCATATCCAACAAATTCATTATAATAAAAGGCTTCGTCCATATAATCAAACATGGCTTGTTTTTCTTCATCATAATCATCATCTACGTTTAATTTGTCGTCTGAGTCTGGTTCTGGTTCTGGTTCTGGTTCTGGTTCTGGTTCTGGTTCTGGTTCTGGCTCTGGCTCTGGTTTCGATTCTTGATTTTGTGGTGTTGTAGTAGATCCAATGGACAGAGGGAAAATTGGTGAATTCAAACTTGAGCCAAACTGCGGTCTCTTTAATATCGGCGTGGATGTGAAGATGGGATGGCTTGGTGATCCCTCCCACAAAGAGTTTTCCGAGAATAAATCGATAAAGCCATTTTCAGGAGATTTTGTCTCGGGTGAAATACTTTTGGGTTCAGCCACTTGAGAGGAAAGAGTACGAAAAATACTTTTGGCTGGTATTTTTCGAATTACTTGTCTATTATCACTACTATCCTTATCCTTATCCTTATCCTTATTGTTACTATTATCACTAAAAGGTTTTGATAAATCGTCTGGAAAACTTTGCTGAATCGTTTTGACCCAATGGTATACTTCAGACTCTAAATCATTCTCCACATTGTACCTAGTCATATTATTATTATCATTATTATCATTATTATCATTATTATCGTTGTTGTTGATATTTTAGTTGCAAGGTACAATATACAATATATACACACCTTTAAAGCCATTATTGCACATACCCACTACAAAGAAGAATATTTTCATTTGTTTCTAGTCGTCTAACCTTACCGAATAAGGTTAACTGACTACCTATTGCTATGTCTTGGAAATCGTGGCGACGAGAGGAACGTTCGGTAAAAAATGCGCGTAATATTGCAGTACTATCATCTAATTAATAGATAGTGGTGAGCTAAAAAGAAGAAAAAGAAGAAAAAAAATCTTTGGGCAAGTCAAACCTCTTACCAAGCCAAACACAATTTGCAGCATTAGGTACATCTTTGGATTTGTTTGATCGGGAAAAAGATTGTTTAGACACAACAATCCCGTTTACCCTAATATATTATTAGTATTACAAGAATATATTGCTTAAAGATGTTGAGGAGAGTAAATATTTTGTTTTGTTTTTGTATTGTATTGTATTGTATTGTATTGTATGCTATTTTAATTTTTACTTTGCTTTTTGGAATTGTATGGGATTGTTGATGCGTGTAGTGAATTTGACATTTGAACCTTGTTGCAAATTGTCACTACTAGGTTGTGCTAGTGCAATGTCTCGCGCAAATACCAAGTAATAGTAGTCTAAAGAATCGCTACTAGAGGTTAGACCGGGGATTGTTGATTTAGGCATTTGTAAGGTGAGATGTAGGACGAAGAGGTGTGCGGCCTGATTCAGGGTTTTCCGTCCAAAGACACCGTCACACTTTCATTCGTCCATGTCCTATTTCGTTCAATGAAATGTACGTGACACGGTCAAAACAAAACCAAAAAAAGGGCGTTCCTTTAACTATTTAAAGGATACTTGGGCATGAATTTCTATTTACTTTTATATATAGATATATAGATGTGTATCTGTCGCTTTTTAGAGCTATTTCTAGTACATTTCTGCATAAATGGAAACTGGCGTGGACGGTGAATATACACTTGAATGTCAATTACAGCGTATTAATTGAAGTATGAAATGTCGAAATTAATATGTATTACATAGAGAACAATAGGATTTAGAAAAGAAACAATAGAAATTATAGTAATTACAGTAACAAATAAAAGTAAAAAAAAATGGAATGAGCAGAAAGTTGTAGATTTCGGTAAAGAAATTGAACATATTATTGCAGAAATTGAAGTATATCGTTAGACCACTGATTGTTCTTTAGGAATATATGATCAATTAGTTTGGCTTACACAAGGTTATTTATTTATTTATTATATTTCTAAAAAGCTTAATTAAATAACAATGATGACAATAATGATAATAAGGCTACCAAAAATACAGAGCTCCTTTTTTCGGGGACAATCCTCTGTGTTGAGTTTTGCTAAAGTCATAAAGAATTTTGTTAATTGATAGAGATACAGGAAGCCCGATCCAGTTGCTTCGGTTTTGTTTTGGTTAAAAGCTTGTTCCTGATATTAACTAGCAACGAGGAAATCGCGAAATTAGGTATGGCATAGAAGACGAGTTACACCGAGGTCAAGGCAGGAAAGAATCATTTCGGTGCTTCAATAGTTTAAAGAAGCGAATTATACAGACAAGGCAGACGTAAAAAGAGAGGTAAGAGCTAAGAAATATATATATAAGAATATAAAAGTAAGTAAGTAATATGTGTGTATGTGTGTATATGTGGTGGGTGGGGTTATTTGATAAGGCACTAAACTATACATAGGAATCATACCTCATAAAGTCATTTGTGGCAGGTGTGAATAAATGTGTTTGGTGGAGTGATAAGCTCTCTTGGCCAGCAATAACGGTAGAAATGGCATGCTGTCTAATTTCCTCAGTGACACAATAGAACGAAAGTGAGAGGAAGGAAATTGAAGACAAATGGGAATATCGCGCGCGGGCATGGCCACACGATGGAAACAGCGGAAGTATATTAGGAAGCACAATAAAGTAAACGCAATCTATACTTGTACCACCAGGGACCTGCACACTAATTCCTTTTTTTTTTGGTTTTTTTTGGCCGTCGAATTAGTTTAAAAGCACATCTTTACTGTCTTCCTTATCCTTTCCTCTTTACGTTCTTCCCAACCAAAGCTTCAAGTTTTCCCCCCTTCCTTTCCCTTTCCTCACCAACCCTTCCCTTCAAATACATACACCCACAGCCAGGCGCTGTACCCTTTCCCGTCTTTTTCCAATTAATAGTTAGCATTCCTTAAAAATGCGTTTCCAAACTCTCTCTTTGACCGCCATTGGTCTCCTCATGTTCTCCAGCTCCCAAATTGGAGTAAATGCAAAGTCCTTCATGCTCAGAGATAATCTTGCTACTGTTGAGAGAGATGGTGCCATTCACACCGTTGTCTCTGCCATGTACCTGGCTCCATTCTCGAGCGACGACGCACCCGAGGCTGAATTCGAACTTGTTGACGACGATCTGAACAGCCACTTGCTTTCATACACAAAGCGTGGTGCCAGCTGCTCTAAATACGTTACAAGTAGGTGGCGCAAATTCCCCTAAAAAAATCAATTTTCTTTATTATTATGTTTAATTCATCAGTATTCTTACTTTTTTTATATTTTTTATTATGTAGTCAAGAGTGGTGATACTTGCGCCAAGGTTGCCAAGAGCAACAGTATTACCGTTAGCAAATTCTACGACTTGAACAGCCAAGTTAACAGCAAATGTACCAACATTATTGCTGGAAAGAAGTACTGTGTTAAGGCAGGAACCACCGCAAATGTCAAGGCAAAAACCACCACCAAGAAGAAGACAACCACAAAGAAGACCACCACCAAGAAGAAGACCACCACCAAGAAATCTACCAAGACCACCGCCAAAGCCTCGCCCAGCAACAAGTCTGTTAGCAGCAGAAAGAAGATCCAGTCCAACTCAGCATTCACTTACTACTGGACTGCCCAGGAAGCTGACTATGCTGACAACAGCAAGACTGTAACAATCAAGACTTGTTCTGGAAAGAGCATTGCCAAGGTCGATGAAACATACGCTGATGCCTTGGTTATGGAAGGTGCCGGTGTTGTCGGCAACAAGCTTGTCAACTTGGGCGACTGCACGTGCAAAAACTACAACTGCTTTGAGGAATTGAACAAGAAGGAGAATCCCTTTGGCCTGACTTGTAAGTTTGTATAATTAATATAATTAATATAATTATATACTTATGTACTTATTGTTCCTTATTATAGCTTATGGCTCCGCTCTCCGTCCTTACACCACCATTGCTGCCAACGATATCGAGAAGGGCACCAAGATCTATGTTCCTGCTCTCGTTGGCTGGTCGCTCCCTGGCTCCACCAAGAAGCACAATGGCTGTCTTTTGGTTGATGGTCAGTGCGCATGAAATTCTAATATCTAATGATATAAACTAATCAATTATCTCCATTTTTTCCCTCAAAACAGATGAGAGCTGGAGTTTCACCAACAAGCACATCGACTTTTACGTCTACGAAAAGGATCACTACGCCACCTTGAACAAGGCACACAAGGTTTCCAAGGTCGACATCTACGAAGGTGGCGATTGCAGTCTTCTCAACTACACCTAAAGACATTTGATCGACCAATATATTCTTCGATTGAATTAATTTAATCTTTTCACAAATCTCGTCCTCTCCCTCTCATTCTCTTTATCTATTTTGCTCTCTCTTCTTGTTTTTTTCTCTCTCTCTCTCTTTATATTTCTGTCAGATCAAGAAGATAAAAGCTCAATGATGTCTTCTATATTATCGATCTGTACACATTATATATATTTGCATATATAAAGAGCATTGTATTAAAGACAGTTTTGATTGCTATTTATCTACACCTTGGATTCTCTCTTCCATTAAAATATGTTTCATGTGATAATAAAGCCTTTTTGGCTCAGTGCACCTTTTTATTTATTTACTTTATTAACTTATTTATATATATATTTACATATATATATTCATATTTATTTATATATTTCTTATATATATAAATATATATAACATACACGGTCAGCTCTAAATCCGCGAATCTCATTTTCCCAATCTTCCAATGATTTACCTGGTAATGCGACCCGCTATAGTACGTGTCACGAACAATATTGAGCTTTATGTTGTCTGTGTCGCATTTCCTTATACGATTACTAACAAAAAAGAAAATGCCCGATCAATTTCTACCTCTTCGCAGTCACAGCATCCTGTTTTCTGCAGCCATATTCCTCCTTTAAAAGCCCAAAAAGAATCTTATAACCAGGGTTTCGGATAATAAATAGCTTCATTAATTGGCTAATGACAAGATTACACTCCTCCACCCCCCCCTCCTCCTTCACTACATCTTCTCCCTCTCTTAATTTTGACTATTAGTATTAGTATTAGTATTAGTATTACTATCAATTTGAATATCTGATCTGTTTGAATCTCCATTTTATTTTATTCGGTTAGTTATAGGAGACCCTTCTTTTTTCTTTCTTTCTCTTTATCTCTTTGATTTAAAATCAAATAAAATCCTTACCATTTTTGATTCATTTTTGATTCATTTTTTTTTTATTGATTGATTGATTGATTGAATGATTGATTGATTTATTTTGCTTTCTTTATATCACCATAGAAACGAGGATTTTAGACTTTTTTAGATTGATATAATAATAGGAATCAAACATCCTTTATCAGATTTGATATTTAATATCTTTTACTCCAACCCTGACTTTATCCACAAAGTTTCTCCAAGAGCAGTTGTGATAAATTGACTATCTAAAATTCTATCCGAGTCAGACTCTCTTACAGATGATGACAAGCAATTATCAATAGAGTCTAGCTCAGGTTGAATTCTTTGAGTTCGTTGAATTCGTTGTCTAGATTTCACATAATCTTTCCATGCTTGATTAAGAGCACGAGGAGGATCCATATAGTGTTCTTCCGACATCATGAATGTTCCCCAGTGTATTCCAACAGATACCTTGGGGTGGCCAAGATCACAGTGTGCCTTGACAGCCTCAGTTGGACCCATGTGGAGGTGCTTCATTAAGAATTCGGGTTCAAAGCTACCAATAGGCATCGCTGCAAGTGACAGCGGACTATAGCGACTTCCTATAGCCTTGAAGAGTTCGGAAGAATAACCCGTGTCTCCACTAAGAAGAAATGCAGAATTTTGATTCCAGTTAATTAGTATATTGATCCACTAATTTCTTAATTATTACTATTTATTTTTATTTATTTTTTATATACACATATAATTTTCTGGATAAAATTTCTTACCAGAAAAAGATATTCTCATTCTGTCCCTTGATCACAAAACTGCACCAGAGTGTTTCATTCTTGTCAAAAGGTGTGCGAAACCCACTCCAATGCTGTGAATATGAAATATAAGAACAATAATATCATTATTTTGAATGGCATGGGTTTCGATTAGTAATCCAGATTGTTTTTTCTTTAAAAAATGATCGCGCTCATACCATAGCCGGAACACACGCCACCGTTATGTCCGGTCTCAGTTTGATCTTGGTTTCCTCCCACCAGTTCATCTCCAAGACCTAATCACACGGGTGGAACACAATAAGAATGAGGGAATGTCACACACTGGCCCTTATTCTTATTCTTATTCTTATTCTTATTTTCATACATTATTTATGCCTCTTTCAACAAACCAATACTTAAGTCCGAGAGGAACGTACCAAGCTACTGAGTTTCCGAGTTTGGCAACTACCTTACTATCTGTAATTTTTCATAATCTCATAATCTCAGCATCTCCCAATATCTCAATATCCTTTTTTTTTTCTACCTTTTTTTCCCCTAAATATATTTAGTCTATCTTTAAACAATATTACCCAAATGGTCGAAATGATTATGTGAAACAAGAACTATATCCAGGTTTTCTTGGATGTCTTCAAGTACACAAGGAACTGGTCTTAGACGTTTAGGACCAAGATACTCGTTAATTGAACGCCGAGTGAATACAGGATCCGTAAGAATTGCCAAGCCTTCGATTGTAATTAAACAAGTAGATTGCCTAGAAATAAAGAAATACGTGAATATAAATATAAATATAAATATAAATTATATAATATAATATAAATAAATATCCAATCAATTCTCGAGTAAAAAGGTATTGTTACATGCAAAATTAATTTACCCAAGCCATGTAAAAGTAATTGGATTCTTGGCTTTTTCTGGGTTAATGACTTCTGTCCCATTCTTATTCAAATACACCCAGGTATCCTTTGACTTTGAATACAGCTTTGTCATCGTTTGGCTTAATTTGTATGAATTATTTTTGTTGAATATGAGATTCAGGGGTGGTTTCATTACAGGAAGTGCTACCGAGAGTTCCTGTATTTTATTTTATTTTAAAAATAAATCACTCAATCAATAAATCGGTACGCTTGTACAAGTAGCCAGAAAATAACTATGATACGTTCTTTGCGTGCGCGCAGTAATAAAATTATATATAAAATAATAAATAAATAAATAAATAAAAAAGGAGCTTGGCACATACCTCTTGTGATTTTGGAATCCCATTTCCTTTCCATCGCCGCATCCAGAAGAAAGCTGTTTCCCACCACTTTACTTCTCTCCACTCATGAAATGGATTGACAAACCGGTGAGCTATCTTTTTGGACCTCAAAAAAATTATACATATATATATATATTTAATATCAATTGACCTCTAGTCCTCTAAGTATATCTCACTATTTTAGACTCTATGGTAAGGCTATAAACTAACCAAACCAATCCAAGTCTCGATATTTCTAACCAGGCCCTTTATCCAATTTATCTCTAAAGTACCTTTAGACTCGCGTAACGTTCTTCAGGCCGCTTTAAATGGCTTCTGGACGCTATTCCTTTGCGGCGCTCTGATTCCAATAACCTGGTGCCATATGAAGCTTGTATACATAAGTACAGGAGTATAACCAAAAAAAGTATAGCAGTAAATATGGTTGGGAATATATAGACACTCTTTGAGCGGTAAAAAAGAACAGCATAGGCCAACAAATGCATGAAATAAGGTGTATTAAGAAGAGACAAGAGAGAGGAGAAAAAAAGAAAGTCTAAAGGAAATGTTGTTGGTTAACTTGCTTATTTATTGCTACAATAATGACAACTTTTCCCCCAAGTTGTCAGATACTTTATCCACTATAAGTAGCTTATACATTTAATATAAAGAATTACTCATATAGATGAATAAAGAGGTGAATATACAAGGATTCTTTCTTATTCATATTCGCGTTAATACTTTCTTTTGTAAATAAGAAAAACAATCTCGTGTAAATTTCAATTTCAATTTTATATTTTCAACAATTAGCAACAACAAGAGGTTTATCATGCTCTTTTAAAGTATAGGAAACAGGATTCTATATACATACAAGCGATTCTATTATATTGACTACAAATATCGTTTGGTCCGAAAAAAAAGGTGTTTTTCTCTTGTTTCTTTTGATGATAATCCTTATAGTCTAAATCTGGCCATGCTTCTAAAGAAAAAGGAAAGTAAATGTCCCACTACAGATCAAAATGAAATAGAGTAATTTCTATTTTGTAGAATTCTGGGCAATACTCCTTTATTATTCTATAGAAGCCCTGACTACATCTTCTGTTTCTTTTCGTTTTCTTTGTACTATTGACAGCTATCATGTATATTGACAAGTGGCGATATATCGCTGTCACTTTTCATATTCTTATTCATATTCTTCTCCTTATTTTCACGCGTATTGTATCAAATTATATATATACATACATATACAGAAAGTAAAAACAATCAAATAAAAGATCTTCAACTATCACAAATATGATAATTCCAATTTAGTAAAATGTACAGAAAATATTGTTCATCTTGGGTAAAACATTCTCTTTTCTTTAATTAATTAATCAGGATCGATAAGACCCGGATCAAATTTAGAGTCTAAATTACATATTGACCTGAGGTCATCTATACAAATAAATCATTTTGTTTTGTTTTGTTTTATATTGGTGTAAGATGAAATGAATAGATTATATGTTACAGGTATCTCTTGAGCTGTGATGGTAATGGTGTCACTTGAGCGACGGCTTTTGTTGCGAGCATCTTGGCAAAAGGCTCTAGTAAATGTTCGTGTTCCTAATACAAGAAAAGGAATAATAAATAATATGATGAGTAACAATAAGCCGAAACATTTATTGCATTGTATCTATCTATCTATCTATCTATCTATCTAAGCAATAACACCATACTTACACTATTGATAAATGTGATGGCCCAACCACGCTTTTGCTTTGCGTCTCTAGGAAGAGGCCCTCGAATTACCGCACGCCCTATTCGGTGTACATAATCTTCTAAAGTTGGGGCCATATCATAGTTTATAACAAGCCGCACAAAAGGCAGGTCTACACCGCGTGACAGTACATCAGTTGAGACGACTATGTCCCACACTGGCTCTTGCTCGTTCACTCCTGCAACAATCGCAGATCGTTCTGCTTGTGACTTATCGCCATGCATCGCTACTACCCTCAAGTGTTTGTTGCGTTTCTGAATAGCTCGTGTGAGGAACTCAGCCCCAAGACGACTGTCCACAAATATCAAGATAGGTGGGGCAAAATATTTTGGGTCATTAATAATAGACATAAGTCTCTTTGCTTTGCTCGCATTCTCTACCCACAAAATAGTCTGCCTGACATTATTGGTGGCTTCTGGGTGCTTATTAGGATCCCCATCCTTTGGTTGACTGATCCGTATTTCTATAGGTCGAGTTAACCGCCGACACAGACTTTCCATTTCCTTTGGATCGTTCACCGTAGCTGAAAAGAAACTTGTCTGGCGTTTGGTTGTGTCAGGAAGTCTACCAAGTATCTGGCGTACCTGTGGACCGAATCCCAGACTAAACATAGCATCCGCCTCATCCAGAACAAGCATTTGTAAACGCCACGGCCGAAATAAACTTGGGTGCTCTTTGATGAGCTCTAATACACGCCCAGGAGTCCCAACGATTATCTGAACCCCTTTGCGCAATCGGTGAATATTATCAGCCAACGGTTGTCCTCCGATAAGTAAAGCTGTTCGTGTATTGCGCATGCCTTTGGACAATATTTTAGTAACTGTTTCAATCTGCTGGCACAATTCACGTGTGGGTGCCAAGATCAGAGCGTAAGGGCCAGCACGGCGCTTGTAGTTGTGGATTATTGACATGGACCGACAATGTACAATGATTGGGATGACGAATGCACCCGTCTTTCCTGAGCTGGTGGGTGCAACTGCATACACATCCCGCCCTGCCAATCCAGCCGGCACAGCCTGTCGCTGGATACTTGTGGCCATCGACCATTTCATCTGATCCAGGTTGTGGATGAGAGTAGGGCCGAGCGTTTTGCATTGGTCGAAACTGCATATTGGATGTGGTATCCGATCTCCTTTGACATCAATTTCGTGTGCTTTCAATATTGCGTCTCTCTGCCACTTTGGCATATTTGCAATATCCTCTGGCTCTTCATAATTTGTCATTTTTGCGTGCAGATTCTCAGCTACATAGAAAGGCGAAATTTTTGCATTCACATCGTTCAATATAGAAGTGGTTGTTCTTTTCTGTTTTGTGTAAATTCGGGAATTAAGATCTGTGTCAATGCGCTTGCACTCGAGACTGTATACAGAAGAATAAGTAATATATATATTTCTATATGTGTGTGCGTGTGTTTTATATTTATGGTTTTAATTTACCTGCACACATCATTGTCTGTATCATCATTAATGTATTCACCATATTTCCCACATATAATACACACAGGTTCGTCACAGCCAGGAATTATCCTACGTTGATCCGAAGAAAATGGTTTGATCGGCTCATCATCACTGTCTGCCTGTATATCCATATCATCGTCGTCATCCTTATTATCATTATCATCATTTTTTGTAGATTCAGGCTGAATCTTTACATTGGGCGATCCATCATTGTGATTTTTATCATTGAGTGATTTAGTTGTTGAATTTGGAAGGTTTTGGGTGATTTCTTCTAAAGATCCAGGAGAATTCAAGATAGTCTGGGGTATTTCTGGATCTGCAACATCTTTTGGTTTGGTTTGGACAGATTCTTTGATGTAATTTGGTAGATTAGACTTCTTTTCCAAAGCAAGATCTGAGCGCCGTTTTTTATTGATACGCGTACGATCTTCAATTGAATCGTATTCTGTATTATTGGTTCTTTTCTTGACAGATCTCGGAATGAACATAAAGATTTTATAACCAGAAATAATAAATCTAGAGTGCAATTTGTGTTCTTTATGGCTAGCCTGTCCTGTCCTTTTCTTTTCCTTTCTTATTTTCTGCCCTTTCAAGTGTAAACAGCAGCAATGGCAAAATAGAGAAATACAGAGAGAAAGAGAAGATACACATTGAAAGGTTAAAAAGGATGGGCCTGTTTTAAGGTTGCACGGACTTGACTTTTGATTGATGTATCACGTGAGCCAGGCGACAAACTGCATGGCACGATCTTTTTTTTTAATTGAAATTTTAGGTGACAAACAAGGGTTTTTTTTATCATCCTACAAGAATAGAGAGAAAATAATAAAAAAAAGAAATGTCAGCATTACGCTCCGTTGTAAACGTAGGTTTGATTCGATTACTAATGAGAATTCAATACTTGTAATTCAAGTCAAAGACAATGCTTCATATTATAACAAAAAAAAACAAAAAAAATAACAATCAACAACAACAATAACTAAAGAAATATCAATAATTGTGCGTGTATTAGGTTGGACGTTGGTCAGCCCTTGCTTTTGGTATCGCGTACGGTTTTGCCCGTAATGCTTCGTTGCAGAAGCAGGAGAAACAGAAGGAGGCACAGCGCGAATACAAACACAAGGAAGAGTTGATTGAGAAAGCCAGAGCCGAGTATGCCAGAAGAACAAACCCTTCACTTCTTGCCGTTGCTTCTGAAGTGAAGCCAAAAAGTAAATATATGATGGGATATAGCTTAAATATTACGGAGAGACTTGTGGGTGGGCTAGTCGGCTGGCAGCAGTACTAGTACTAGTAATGGTAGTGGTGGTGGAGAAGTGGTTTGTTGCATTTTACGCGACACTGTTTTTTTTGATTATTTGATTATTTAATTAATTAATTAATTAATTAATTAATTATTTTTATTCTATTTATTTAAAAAAGTAGTCGCTTTCCATGACAAGATCTCGGATGACGATCTTGAGGTTCTCATCATCTCTTTGGAAGATTGAATTGACCATTAACCAAGAACTGGAAGAGTATTTTGTTGACTGGGAAGGGAAAAGGTGGGGAAGGAATGGTATATTAAAGAACACGAAAAGTTAAAAAAAAAACAAAAACCAAAAAACAAAAAAAAAGGAGGAGGAGGACAAGAGGTTCCAGGACATGTATCTTATTCTCTAGAGTTTGTAAGATTTTTATTATTATTTATTATTATTCATTCCTGTTAACCTTGTAATGTCTTTATTCTCTGTCTGTCTGCATCTCTATCTCTCTATCTCTTTTGATATTATATGTGTGCGGGTGTGTACATAATATACACACACGTATACATATAAAGATCTTGTTTTTTCTTTGATATAAAATATATAAACAATTACTTGTTGGATGGTATATCTTATTATTACTACTGCTATCACTTTAGCTTTTATATGCTACCTTGATACATAATTAATGGTGCTTGTAAGCCCATTCTGAACACAGATATATATGTTATACAAATTGTAATATATGATTATAGGAATACAATTGTGTAGATTTGTTAGATTTGTAGATGTAAGTAGAGTAAATGTTTATTGAATTTTTTCTTAAATATAATAAAAAGAATGTTATATGAAATATATGATTATTCATCTATTGTAATTTCTGTCGCATTTCTGCCATAAATTCATTACACTCCTTGATATCTGCCGGGCTAAAGTCAGCCTTGGAGCGCTGCATAATAATGAACTTGGATTTGGTTTCCAGCTGAAGAAAGAAAGCAAGAAAAGTGAGAAAACCCTGGTTGTTTTACGATTACATTCTACTATTTATATAATATGTAAAGGATTGTACCTTTTGTGCAAGGCTGTGCAACTGTCTAGAGCCTTTGGGATTCTTTGATTTCTTTACGAATCGTTTGATCTAAAGCACAATAATGTAAGTTATATGACTTTAATACCAAATAATGTTAACATTCTACTTACAGCAACAATTCCAGGAATAACCATCTCTGGGAAGGCAATGTGAGTGTAGAAGCACTTGTAGAAATCGTTTAAACACTCGTTTGCCTGTTCCAAGATACCATCCTTTCCAAGAACAAAACAAAAAAAGTTAATATATTGATCCAGTATATCATATCACTCAATCCTTCGTATTTCTATTCGTATTTACGCGTGTATTTATCTTCATTATTATTATTTTTACTTACTTGATAGACACGAGTACGTAAGTATTGCTTTGGTGCTTTCAGATGAACTTCCCACTCTAATGGTTTCAAAGTCGATGGGTTGGACTTGTTCTTGACCTCTCCGCTCTCAAATACTTCGAAAATAAAAGGTGCAAGTGGAATAAAGACACGAGTGGATTGGTTGAGGGAAATCATACAGCGGAGTACATGGAAACGAAGGGGAAAGTACTGAGCAGTGGGAATCAGACTATAAAGGATAACATTAGACTTCTGATTACATATAGACATATCATTTGAATATCAATCAACTTACCGAATAGCACCCAAAGCGACTTGTACAAGAGGGAAAATAAGTGACTTTAATGGAGACTCTTCCTCTCCATTATCTTTGGGTTGGCAATAGGTGGACAGGACATTTGCCCAAAAGTCAATGCAGTGAATGTATTGCCAGTTGTAAACAGCCTTGTAACTCTCCTGTAATTTTTATTTAGAATTCTCTTTTGACAAAATATGCACCCCATATATATATATACCCATGCCTATTCTAATTATTATAATTATAATTTTACCTTTGTCTTTAATTGCATAGCACCTCTCAAGTGAACTGCAAGCTGACGGATATAGGCAAATGCTTGCTGATAACTCAAGACCTGGTTAATTCCATAAAGTTCTACTGCCAGGTTACGCATCAAGTTGATAGCAGGGAGTGTGTGAGGGTTGGTTGTTTTGCAGTTTCTGACAAATGTCAAATATATGTTCTTCAAGCACAGATCCAGGAAGCTATTTTCTGATGATCCTTTTTTAGACTCTACAGGTGTGGTGGCCAATGATCGGATGGCCAAGAAACTTTGAATGCGTACATTATCAGAAGATGAGAGATTGGACCATAAGTTCAAAAGTGTCTATATATATGCATGAGCTTCACCGATTATTGTTATTGTTATTATTTTTATTTTTATTTGCCACAACTTTACCTTTAAATAGTCCTTTGATGTTTTTTCGAAGCATGCCCAGTAAGCCGTGCATTTCTCAGCCTCTCTAATAGCAACATAGTGCATATTTGCATCGGTCAAGTTTTGCAAGAGATGCAACAAGTTGTTGAGATAAGATTTTACAAGCGACTTCATGAAACTCCAACGTGTAGCTGTAGAAGGTGCACCTCCCTCTTTCTTGGGCTTAAGATAGTGATTGAAAATAGTAGGAGCATAACGCATGGTGGTTGTAACAACCTTGTTAAATACTGCACAAGAAATAAAGAAAGAAAAGGGTCAACGTTTTGCCAATTACATTCTCACATCCACATCCACATATATATCAAACTCCTCTAGTTCTCGTCAACTTACCGTGAGGACTGACAATCTTGTAAACAAATGTGATATTTTCCTGCTGCTCTTCATCAGACATTCTTGCGGCAGTTTTGAATGCAGAAAGCATCTTTTTGAATGCCTTAATGTTCTGTGTTTTATCCAATTGGTCGATCCACTCTGCCAACATTGCCTTTGTAACAACCTCAGCATTGTCGTTTTGCTCTTTAATCGACTTCTTTTTTTTCGATCCTTCTTCATCACTATCATCCTCGTCATCGTCTTCGCCATCATCGTCATTATCTTCGTCAAATTCAGGCTCTTCATCCTCCTCACCCTGGCTTTGGTCTTCTTCGTCTTCTTCGTCTTCATCTTCGGTCATGTCAAAGTCCAGAAGATCAGCACCCTCCTTCTGCAAGTAATCGTAGAATTCGGGATCACGTTCTTTGAGTTGTTCCAATTCCTTTTTGTGCTTGTCTGCATCAAGTTTGATTTTGTCGTCGTCGTCATTTTCCTCATCATCGTCATCTTCCTCCTCCTCCTCCTCCTCCTCCTCTTCCTCTTCCGGCTCAAGTTCGATAAGTTCATCGCTGTCCAACTCTTCATCTTCATCGTCGTCTTTATCCATGTCAATATCCGAATCCTGCATTAAATCTTCTTCATCATCTAATTCCAAATCGTCTTCGCTGTCAATTTCCTCGTCGCTTTCTTTAGTAACTTTTTTGGCGGTTTGTTTCTTGGACTTCTTTTTGTCCATTACTACGTCTTTTTTAACTTCTTTTTCGATTTCTTCTTCGGATTCAGAATCGTCTTGGACAGTTTCAGCTTGACCAAGTGCCTTCAAATCCTACAAGAATAACGAATAACAAAGCATGAAATTAGCACATACACACATAAACACAAAAAAACACACACACATACTCTGTCCAAGGCATCCTCATCCGAGTTTTCCATGTATTCATCTTCGGATTCACTAGCTTCGAATCCACCCTTGAAGAAATCCTCAACTGACATTTTCGAGAGACTTATTTTTTTTTAACAAAAAAAGGAAATTAGTCTACTATCCTAATATAAATTACAGGTAATTTTGTTGCAATTTTTTTTTGGCTGGTTGGTTGGTTGGTTGGTTGGTTGGTTGGAAATTTGCGATCGTGTATATGTGCGGGATGGAGGCTATTCAATTACCTCTTTTCGTTTCCATTTGTGGATTTTGTAACTTTCTTAATCTCTTTGGTTGATTTCTCTGCTTTTGTGACTTTTTTTGGTCCGTTGTCCTTGGTTTTGGTTTGAGTTGTGCTTTTATTTTTAAAGGCTGTCTTTTTAGATGCCATCTTTTTTGATTTGACCATTAATGCTGTTGATGTATATTATATTGCTAAAGAGAAGAAGCAGAAGTATTTGATAGTTCGTATAGGTAAAAAAAAAAACTCCTTCCTGTTCACTTAAAAATTAAAAAAAAAAATGAAGGGTTTAGGGGAAGTGTGGGGTGACTGCTTGTGACTATACCCAAGAAGTGGTTTCGAAAGAGGCTTAGACCGTCCAAAAAATAAAGACCGTATAAATTGCCACTCTGTAGTACTCGTAATAATACAGGTAGAAGATGGTGATGAAGAAGAAGAATAAGAAAAAAAATAAGAGAAAAAATATAGAGGAGGAAAAATGACAGGTTATTTCACACTCCAGACTGACAGAAAAGAAAGCAAAAAAGACAATCAAGGTCACACTAATAACCAGATATTGGGTTTCTATTGGCCCACAACGAATGTTAAATTTATTGTTCTTGTTCTTCAAACATATTCATTAGAGTTGTGTCGATTGTTATACAAAGTGTCTCTCTTTTAACCTCTTTGGCGTAGGGCAATTAGATATATTAAAGATTGATTAAGTTATAATCTTATGGATCAGTGTTTGGAGTTAAGTTTAGTGAGAATTCTGCTTAAAAGCTATGCCTAGGGCTTTTGATATTTTATCAGAAAGAAAACTGAATTTTGTTGCCGTAACAAATACATTAGAGAGGGTCTTCGAGCCTGAATTGCAAACGTTTGCAATTTTTTATTTTACGCGGCGAATTAAATTCCAATACTTGTTTTGCAAATTTCATGGTGGAGGCCATTTAGTGAGCATTTGAAGCCAAAAGTTAGGTAATCCCTGATTTTTTACTTCAAATGCTCACTAAATTTCTAGTAAAAATTGGGCTTATTTTTCCCACTTCAAAACAAAATGTATGATAGCCAGTAGCCTCTTCTTCATACTTACTTAATAAAATAGGCCTTGGAAAGTCAAGTTTATTAAGGTCTATTTCCTCTAAATTTCTTAGTATCAATGTTTTCAACTTATAATATTCATAACTGTGTCTGAGCTTTATTCTTATTTTTGATTGGGTTTTACAAATAATTATTTTTTAGTCATCTTGAAATTATCATAACTCGACACCCTCTCTATTTATTGAAAGAATAAAAAAAATAGCCACCTAAGGGCCTTCTCAAGCACTCGCCAAAGTCCTAAAAGTTGGCGTTGAAATCCAAATAAGTATTAGCCAAGATTTTCTAATTTAGCCAATCTTGTTGGCGAAGGTTACTAATTTAAGAAACTCTCGCCAATCCGTATATGGAAATCACCGCCAACATTTAGGACCTTGGCGGGTGCTTGAGAAGCCCCTAACTGACTGTTAGAAAAAGTAAATAAGGTGGACAATTACGTACCAAAAAATATCTGTGGACAGACCAAAAGGGCAAAACAACTTCATCCAGAACTTAGTCAATTAGACTAATTTATGACTGTCCACATCTTTATTTAAAAAAAGTTCAAAATTAGTTCAAAATACATATTTGATAAAATAGTGCATATAATCCCGTCTCTGTCATTAAGTGAGAACTTTTTATTGCGAGTTTTTCTAGACCTCTCATTATATGGCACATCTTCTCCATAAAAAATGCTTCTCTTCTCAATTCTAGTGACAATGGAAGAAAACTAGCTAATTAGAGTCGATTAAAAATGTTGCCCTTTTTTTGCCTTTTTTTGAACCTCCAAGAAAAAGGGCAAAAAAAGGGCAGAATTAATTAAAACTCTCGCCCAATGATATGACTTAAATGTTTGGTCTTTTTTTTTCCTTTTTTGAACTTTTAGTCTGTCCACCCCAAGTTTATTGAAATGTGTTCATTAGTGATTATATAGGATCATCCAAATATGGTAATATTTTATGACCTCAACGCTGATCTCCGTTACAGAGTATATACAGCAGCCACATCTCAACTATCGTGCGATAAATAGCATCTGCCGCAGTTATGTTATTAGGTTGTTCTCCATTGATGAATTTGCCGTGTTTAACATGTTTAACAAAACTGTTGACTGCGTACTAGTTATTCGAAACCATCAACTTTAAGATAAGTACACATGTTTGCATCTTTCCTACCTTATTCCCTTTCAAAGTGCGCCCAACTATGATCCACATGTTGGAGCCACACCAGTCATTAGAACTGGAGCTTACAACAAGACACGTTGGGTATTTATCATTTTCAGGACAGAAACTGCACTGCTAATAAACTTGGCTTTGCACGGTCTGTTCCCCACTATGTTAAGCGCTTGTTCTTTTTTTTCTGGCTCTTGATTTCTTTACAGAGACGTGTATTTTAATTCAATATTAAATATTTGATTCTGTAGCTACCAGATATTACCTTTTTAATTGTTGGCATTATTTCGTTTCTCCTCCATATGTACCGCCTACTGCTACAGCCAAGATATTGGCTTACACTGGTAATTCCCCACTTTTTCTTTAAGATATAGCTGATTAACCAGGTTTGTATAATCACATTCATATGTATTCAAAAGCTTCAAATTTCACAGCTAACTTGTACAAGTTTTAAGCTTTCTCTTTTTTTTGGCCATTTTCTTCTTACATTACAATCGGCTCTTTTAAATGCATATATATCATCTAGGTATGGCCGACATACGGCTTCTACTGCTACATATCTCAGATATTATCTTTGTGCCTTCTCACTCCTACTACAGACTGCTCATGCTTAGTTTCTCTTAAATATAGTTTGTATATGTAGCATACACATTCAACACCGATTGTTTTTACTAGAACCATTTACTGTCTTTGACATTATTATCATGTTTCGATTATGCTATATATTGTGTGTGTTATCTGTTCCGCCCTTCGCCATGAAATTTATCTGATTTATTCGGCACAAGTTTCACATTCCTTGAATGTTTTCCTCTGTTCGTCTTTTCTTTATACCACTTCCTAAGTGCTATGTTGGTACCGGTGCTTTAGGTTCATCCTAAAAACTATGAATTCTAGCTCCGTTGTATATGCCCTCTTCGAATAACAATAATAAAAGTGTTGTTTTCTGGAAATAAAAAATATCATCTTCCTTTCATTCTATTAATCAAAACCACAATGAAAAGTTTGTTCTCTTAAAAAAACGTAGTTTTTATTAAAAATCTTATGAGCTTGAGTATGGTTGGATTATATGTTTTTATTTGATTGAAATCGATTCAGCCAGGATCTCAACCATAATCCATATGGTAAACACACCATAATTAAGTGAAATACAAAATGCAACCAAACTCTTACACTTATACAGTGCATTAAGGAGCTTCTCAAGCGCCCGCCAAAGTCTTGAATGTTAAAGAGAATTCCCATATACGGTTTGGTGAGATCTTTCTAAATTAGCTAATTTTGTTAGCGATGTGAACGCGCTGGTTAGCCTTTTTGTTACACTAGTGAAGATTCAATTAGGACTAACCAGGTGTTCGATGAGAGTGTGATTATAAGGGTTTTTAAGATAGAAACAATTATATAGAATTTGAGAATCAAGGTGTAAGATGGTCTTTATTTCATGTTCTTTGCCTTTGCTTTTATATTGTTTCTATCCTATTTTTCACATCATTGTTTTATCATTTTCTAAGGTTCGCTAAGTCTCTTAGTTCTCTACTAACGTCTTTAGTTCTACACTAATTGTCTAGTTTGTTGCTATGATTTTATTCTTTTTTAATTTCAAAATCCGTCGCAACGACAGCGAGTCGCCAGACCTTATTAGAAAATCCCAGTCAATTCGTTTCTGGAAATTTTCTTTAACATTCAGGACTTTGATGGGTGCTTGAAAAACCCCTTACATATATCATGTCTAAAAAGATTTACAAAGAAGGTTAACTCATCTTGTTTCGTATAAAAAACAAAGCTTTAGTGAACTAATAGCTATATCAGCGATTAATAAATACATATTATACTCGCGTCGTTTGGACATGCCTTTGAAATTTTCGGCATTCATCGGAATGAACAAACACATAATCATACAAGATATAATTCTACATAGACGCACATCGCTAGTTGATGTTAAAAGAATGTGGATCAATCGATTTGCATCCGAGACAAAGAGGGAAAATCCAGCTGAGATGGATTCTGAAAAAGTAGATTGGTCAGAACTAATGGAGACCGCGATTGAAAAGTCCAACGAAGTTATCGAACAGTCAATTAGGCGCAAGAGAAACCTTATAATTTCGGATACTTATGAAAAAGAAAATGAAATTTTTGGACACACTATAACTAAAAGGCAGGCCGAGGACTCTATTGTTAAGGTATTTAAAAGACATTCGTTGTATTCTCTAAATATACATAACATAAGTATTAATATTTTTAATCAGGGTGTAAAGGGGAAAAAAGCAATTCGAAAGTTGGAAGATATTGTCAAATTAGATAATGATTTCCAGAAAGGAAATGTCGACGAAAAAGAAGAAGTACCAGTAGTTGAAGCTGCCAGCTCACAAGAGTATCATGCGAATGTCATTTCTCAAGATAGTGACCTAGAATTTCAGGCGGATACAGGCGTTCCTTTTATGAATATCGTATATAATGAAAGTGAAATAGACAGCTCCTATAAAGACAGACCATCATTAACTGAAATAGAAGAATCCTCTTCACCGAGCACGATAGGCTATGTGTGGACAATGACCCTGGGCGAGCTGAATATTATTTCGTTTGGGAAGAAGGAAATGGCTACGACCAACAAATATATCAAGACATTATATGATGATGCTCATAGTGATGCTATGAACAAGATCTTAAAACCAGGAGATGTAGATAAAAGACTCTTTCTTTCTGGCCTATTTGACTGCTCTATATCAACGGAAATAATAGAACAATACTTAGTACCTATTGCGAAACTACCGAACACCATCAACAGCTGCATAAAATCAATGGAAAAGGCTATGGATAACAACACAATTATGGAATCAGGAGGAACACAATACAACAGTGTCGAAGAACTAGCTCTTTACCATGTAATATTGAGCATATTCCTGAACCATGCAGTTATACCAATCAAAATCCAAACAAGCGAGCTTGATTTTATTGTAAAATCGGTAGCCTGTCTGCTTGGCCCTATATGGTCTTCCAATGACCAAGTGAAAATTATATGGTAGGCTAAAAAGAAGTTATATGATATACATATGCACATTCACATGTGTATGTGTATGTGTGTGCTGACCTAAGTCTGCACTTCACCATATAGGGATTATACAACAGCAATAAATAAACAGAAAATGCCGGATACAGTTTCTTCGCGGCCAGACATGGTATTTCATAGTAATCTCTATGAGATAGGAAACGGGGAAATAAAAGCCGTAAACACGCCAAAAACAGCTGTCAATCTTGCCCGCAACAGAGTTTTAGAAACCTGCAAAAGGCAATTGCACCAAAGATTGAAAAAAGCAAGATCATCGAAAGAAGCTGTAACTTTTGGCATACTTATATATGGTAAATAGAGCAGCAATAAAAATAACTATGCAATGAAAATGGCTAATGTTTACGCTATCAATTTAGGTCTGTCATATGAAATATATATAGTCACCTTTGAAAATGGCTATTATCCTTATAAGCGAGTTTCTGTGGGGCTGATGCCTACATCCAACACCACATACAAATGCACAGAGAAAATGCTAATGGATTTGATCCAATTGAAGGTATATTATCAATTGATAATACGAATGCATCTTCACTAACTGGTGTGTATAGAGATCCATGAATAGATCTTTACGAATTGATGATAACACAAAGGACACTCAAGAATTCACCTTGGTTGATAAAAACCAGCTATTACCTACATTATCGTATGGTATGCTTTCGCATTAATAAATTACTTGATTTAAGGTGCTCTCGGAATTGTTTTTCGATAAAGAATTCTTTATCGAAAAACAATAATGTTCTTTTTTTAGAAGATTAATATGTGCCAAATATAGATGTTGTGTAATTAATAATACGTTGGTGTTATAGTCAGTACTATACTCCAAAGATATAAACTTATTTGAAAGCATATTAAAGGAATACTTTTTCTTGTGGCTTTATCACTATGAGGAAGCATGTAATATTCGACTTCAAGCAAAGCACTTGGTGCAAGATAGCATACCATATATTATTTTGAGTAGAGATTACCGGTTTGTATAGCAAATAAGACCCTGAAAATAATATATAACAGTAAGATAAAAGCGATTGTCAAATGATATTCTGATAGTAGTAAAAATATACTTCTATATTTGGATATTAAAAAAATTTATCCCTGCTAGAGAGCAGGTATATAAGAAAATCTGAGCGTGAAAAACGCGAATGTTTGATAAATTTTCTCAAAAGTTTGTCAAACTTGAAAGAAATTTTTCAAACATTGTAAAACATGATAGACCAATCATGTTGTATTATTTTTTTGTTGCTATACGCACGAAAAATTAAGCTTGAAAATATTAATAGTTGTAATTTTAACGTATGCATGTAAGAATATAAGCATCCCTTCAGTATACTTTTCTCTACTTCTTTTTTTTCATTATTTTTTTAATAAAGTTAGTATTAATATTTTTGTTCTAACATAATACCAAGAAAAAAATGACTATTATTTAATAGAAGTTAACGAATCTCTCATTAGCTTGATTATATGAAGCATTGTTCGTGAGCTTAGTACCACTCCTTTTCCGACAGGCAATGATTACCAAATGTATACTATGTTTGAGACATGATATTCCGACAGAAAATGTTTGATAGAAATCTATATTTGGTAACTCGGCGCCTAAATGTCTCTTATCGTCTCACCAAGGTCCCTATAAAGAACAAATTATGTTTTCAAGTAAGCATATAAAGAAGTCCATATAGCCCCAGCATTAGGTTTTTTCCCCTTTATTTGCGCAAGCATTCTACGTATACAAATATTAATTAGTATTTATTAGCTTTAATGTCTAAAAAATTAAACAGCTATTACAGTTTGAGGGTAAAAAGTAACAAACTTTGGTTCGCACTAATTACATGATTTTAAGTTCGTGAGTTTAGTAAATTAACATGGCCAATAAATGCAATATCACACGTTTTCATTGTATATGGAAGCCTTGGATGTGAATCATGAGACCGTATAAAATTACATATATGGTTAAATGTTTCAAAAATATTTTATATGATGTGTCCAAAGTCCCTAATCCTGTGAGTTTCTTTTTTTTTCTTTTTATGGCAGTCGAAGCCCTAGTAACACTCGTTAAGGCCTCGGCGGTTTCTTCTACAATTCCTCTTGCTAACCATGCGAGCTCCAATCAAGGCTTTATCTCCGATGCAAAAGACATATATTCATTAGGATATGAATATGTCTCTGTTCTTGTTATTCTTGAAACATATCCTTCTGGAATATCCAGTATATGCATATTTATGTCAAGCCCTATTTTTTTAAATATACATTTAAGTTTCTATTTTACTTTACTTTCAACTTTTCTTAAAGATACAGCAACCTCACTTACCACTCATAATTATGCTTGGTATTCTTAATGTGTTTATTAGCCCTGGCTTATTCTCAAGGATTTTTTGCATTAAATCCTTCATCAATTTTGGTGCTTTTATGCGACTATCTTTTATATCCTTATCGCCATTCTCATCACTGACTTTTGCTGCCTCAGAAATTCCAAGTTCAAATGAACCATATCTAAATATATGGTCAGGTCGTTTGGCGGATTTCTTTCTCCCGATATTTGTGACCGATGCAATTTGTCGGCCTCTATTTGATTCAAAAGAGGATGCCTTGCTACAGATCTCCTTTTAAAATAAAGTAAATGTAAATGTAAGTGTAAATGTAAATGTACATTAGAGTTTGATTCATTGATAGCTCAATCGATACTTTACTCTCTTGCAGTTATTACTGAGCTGTCGAACACAGTGAGAATCAGTCTCCAGACCCGACTTAAATAGTCTCTTTTACTGTGCTCTATAAAAGACTTGAAAAAGTCTGGCATATGTAGATCCAGACCATCTAACAAAGATTTTTGTGCCCAGTAACAAGATGGATTTTTCTTTGGGCTGTAATATGTTCTAGCTATACTTTCATGCATAGTCTCGATATCCTAAAAAGACATGTATTAAAAACACAGGGGGGGGGGGGGGGCTTGTTTTGTATATCCAAATACTTACTTCATCTTGAGTGATATTATTCAAGTACTCAAATAATTCACTTGGTAATGGCTTCAATGGCTTTGCTTTATGAGCTTGAATCTCTTCCAGCTCCTCTTGGGTGAAGTATTCACCCCAAGTTTTATCGTCAGTGTCTAGTATTAATGAATGGCATGGGCTTTGTGCGCATTGTATTAGTCAAATAATGCTTGTAAAACATCAAAATAAAAACTTATTGCTCGTATACACACCCTTCGGCAAGTTTAGTCATCTTCATCTCAACGATTGTTCCTGTAGACAAGGTCCACATTTTTTGAGAATTAAGCTCTTCGTATATTTCTTCAGTGTAGTTCTTGTCTTGCTTAGTGAGCCTGTAGGACAAGCTTGATGAAGAAGAATCGTGACTGGTTATATATTTACAACTGCTTTTCATTGAAGACAATTGTTTCGATTCTTTACTTAAAGCATTTTCAATCTCTTCCCAACTTTGGGTTTTCTTTGTCTAGCCATATAGTTTAGTTTATTCTGTATTATTTATGTGTATGTGTACAAGTAATTATTAATTCGTATTACTTACCAAAAATATATTATACCTCTCAGTCACCTCAAAGGTTCTATTTCGCCAAATGTGCTTACAACTTTCGAAGCTTATGTTATCAGTACACTTCCATCAGCGAAGTCACTGTCAGACTTCTTGTTTTCTAATTCCAAATAAACTATTAAAAATCAACTTCTTTGTTATACATATTTGAAAAGAAAAATAAAGCGCGAGCTAAATACGATAAAGGTTTTGTTTTCTTATATATATATATTATGAATTAGAAGAAGAAGAAAGTAATATGTGATGTGGTCACAACAAGATTTAATTACTTCTTGGACGCAACTCTATTATGCATACCTCCTACAATAGTATAAATATCCTTTGAGTCAAGCTAACTCCCTTCATGAAGGACACAATCCTTCAAATCCTTGGGCTGTATTTATAGAACCCTTCTCTCTTGAACCTTGGCTTTTAGAGCATGCCAACTATGTTCGATTGGGCTCAAGCCCGGCTTTTGAGATATGAGTAGTCAAATCGCTAAATCTTCCAACAGAGGTTTTTTTTATCATGTCGTGTAGGGGAAGTATGATAGCTAACACGATATTCTTGGGATTTGAACAAGGTGTTAGGCTCATAATTCCACTTTACATACCCGGGGTTTCTGCAACAAAAGGAGAGACGACAAAAGGAGATTGTAGTAAAAAAAAAAAGGCGTACTTCTGGGTAAGGTGACGCAGCTTTATCATGTCGGAGTGTATAAGCTTGCACGCTTATTTCTTTAGCACTTTCCACAGTGTTTTCATGAAGATTATATGAAAATAGAAAAATACTTTTCTTTTTTTAAAAAAAAAGTACTGCCAAGTTTTAAAATGTCGCCAAAAAATTCATGAATTTAACGTGAGTTTCATAAATAAGATCCTATACCTTTGACAAACAAATCTTTACATTTTGCTGTTTTGGATGAAGCATGGCTTGGTGAACAGCTTTGGGCCGTAAAATTACATGACAAGTGAGCTAGAACTAAACTGTTTGGTTTTAGTGTAGCAAATTATATTGTTTTTTTTCGTATTTTATGGGAATCTTTGGTGATGAGATGGGGATTATATTAGTTTGCTATTTTATAGTGTGTTGAGTCATAAGAAGCTTTTTGTTTTGTTAGATGATGTGTTTTATTTAACACACATTAAAGCTGTGGCTTTGTTATAAGGGACTACAGTTACATTGAGAACTAAGAATGACTACATTCCACGATGACTATGCCGTGATTGACTAAGCTGCAAAAAAAAGTTATTAAGGCATATTATACACCTTTTCTTATAGATTATTTTGTTCGTTATATAGTGCTGGTAAATGTACAGTTAGACAATTTGCTGAAGCAAAGGAGGAAGAAGTTGCACAAGCTTTCTGAGCCACCCTATATTTTCAGATTATGTATGTATGCATATTGTTTCGTTTACCTCTTTACCCTTGGACCTCTAAAGCCAAGATAGTTCAATTCTATTGCTTTCTTTTCTATATAGAGAAATAAGGAGATAAACATAATGAATAAAACCAAGACTAATAGAACGATCTTCTATCCCAGGACAGGCTACGTACCACTTTCTTTATCCTTTGCTTCAACAGTAAGCTTAAATCGGCCTTTGTGTCTTGAATTATCAGTGAAGAAAAAGGCAACTTTAGGCAGTGTAATGTTTTTAGACAATCTTTTTAAAGCGTAAAAATGAATGTAATTTGACAATCTGTTTTATTTTCGGCTTGCATTAAATATCTTGTATGGCTAATCTTCGTTTAATCGCACGATAGCTGCAATGTAATTGTTCCAGATACTCTAATGAATCTGTACTTCCATTCACGAAATAGAAATAAAAGATATTTGATACCTTGAATTCTTTGATTTGTCTATCCGAACTTCAAACTAAACTAACACTGTAGTAAATGGCAGAAATTAAAAGTATTTACAGTGAATACTCTTTATTGGAGTTAAAATTACTTTTTATCTAACCCAATAAAATCGTTTAAAGTAGCAAAATTATACCATTTTTAGGTATATCTATTCTTATAATTAGTTCAACAAATGCACGGTTTTATATTTGAATTTTATAGTTTTTATTGATCAAAATAATAGAAGTTAAACATAAAGAAGTAAGCAAAGAAGAAGTACTAAATTTAATGATATTTAGTAGCAGTTTAAGCTATAATATTACTAAATAATATACATATATCTATATTTATGTGATACTTTTTACATTTTTTTATATAAAAAACGCTATTCTCTAAGTACTATGATATTGATGAAGGCATGTATATTGCTTAATTGATTCTTTTTATCAAAGAGTATAAACCTGCTTTGTGTTAATATTGTCATGTCTGATTCCTACTTTTGAAAAACAAGAAGACAGATTCCCTGCAATTCTCTAAATCTACCGAGATTTCTAATGAGCATGCGAGCAATCTTGACAACCAAACTGTACATGATGCAGATATTTTTCTGTCAATTCGTCTCAAGTTACTTTCTTTTGTCAACTTTGCTGATTCGTATTTTATTAATACTAGCCTTCATAGCTATTAAGTGTGTTCCTTTTAGAGACATTTAATAATTATAAACCTTGTGAAAAAAATAGAAACAAGTCCTTTTAGATGTACCAATCTAAATTGTTTGGAGAACATGGACGGGTCAGAGGTTATGCATCGTTTGTGGAATCGGGATCTTGCTGCTGTCCTGAACTTCCGACATATACTTAACAATCTGAGATATGATGGGACTATACCTGTAAGGTTCACCCGCGTCATCCGGATTGGACGTATCAGAAGACAAGCAGAAGAAAATCTCCAGGAGGGTCGTCGTTTGAGACAAAGACTGACTAGAATTCAAAGAAGATGAAAAAATTCCGTCCTGGCTATCGCTTAGGACCCACCCAAGCTACCGCTGGTAAGCCATTAGAGTTGAATAACGGTATTTAGTTTTGTAATGGGTTGAAAAAGCTAAGAAAAAGATGTTTTGTTTTGACTGCAAGAAACATGGTGAGGTAAAAAAAAAAGAATATAAAAGAGAGCAAGAGAGAAATTGGTGCTTAATTAAAACTCAAGTACAAGACACTTTAAACCCCGGAAAACTTGCAACAATTCACTAAAATCGCCTATTTTTTTCTATAGGGTAAACTTTGTTATTATATATAATTACAAGCGTATTAAGAATAGAATACAAAAAACGGGGCTTTAAATATTCTTGGTTTTTGATTTTAAGCATAGATTTCTGCTTTTGTTTCTTAGTTTTTTATTATTTAAATCTCAGATATGTTTGATCCAGAAACCCGGATGGCGGCAAATTTTACATCAGATAAATCGATGCATTTATATAATTAACAAAAGCTTATATCATGGTGAGCCTAGCGGTGTATTAGAACAGTGTGAACCTATAGGATTTTGAGACCGTATAAGTTTGTACAGTTGCATGTACATAAGTATATATAGAATTATTAATATTAATATTACTGTTATTTTTTTCTGCTGGTATTATTATTTTTCTATTCACTACGGTACCTAAGTGATCGTGCTTGATCTCCAAAACTAGCTGCTCTCTGTCGCTCTCCGTCCGTATTAGATGATCCACTACCACTATTACCACTACCGTTATTACCACTACCACTACCACTACCATTACTGCTATTGATTGCTTGCTGGAAATAAGAGCCTCTAGGACTTGATGACACAGTCATCGATACACTATTGGCAACAATGGAAGAGGAAGATGTGGATGCACGTGGTGTTGGGGTTGGTGATTCATAGCCACTGTAAGAAGGACCTCGCGATATAAGTGTTGTTCCAAGACTAGGATGGGTTCCACTTGAAAGTGAAGAAAGACATGGACGATGATAATTTGATTGTTTAAATGAAGAAGAGAGACTTGCATCGATTGCTTCTTGTTGTACTTGAGGCAAAGCTTTATAGATATAAATATGTTAATAGTTAGTTGAGGCTTCATTCCTACCGTTCTTGCTTTTGTGATCAAAAGAAAAAATAATAACATGTATATTACTTTTCATGTGCTCCTTAACAGAGAAACTATAGGCATAATCTGATGCGCTGAACCGAGAATTGTTTTCGAGATCAAGGTTGCATCCTAATGACTATATTTATTCATTTTAATTTTTTCGAGATTTTAATTAATCGATCAATTAATCAATTAATGTCTTTAAGCTTCCTATGTACATTTGATGTCGACTTACTGCCAATAGCTCCATGACAGCGGTGTGACCCCAGGCAGATGCATAGTGTAGTGCTGAATTCCCTTCATAATCAACATGATCAATATCAGCAGAAATTGTTTTCATGTACTAGAATAAATCAAAGAGAATAGCATTGTTAGTATTATCACCATATAAATAAATCGATTAATTAATCAATTGATCAATATCAATCTTGCTTACATTTACAAGGTTAGCGTTCCCATTCTTCGCAGCGTACAATAGAGCTGTCCACCCGTTTTTACTGATAGCATGAACACACTCTTGATAACGGCTTGCATAATTGTAAAATATCTAATTTTAATTTTAATTTTAATTGTAGTTTTTAGTTTGGCTGTTGCTTCTTTCTTTCTTTTTTATTTACCTCTTCGTGATTGTACATGGCTGCAATCATCAATACTGTTTCGCCTTTATTATCCTTTTTAAATAGAATAAAAAAAACAAATATATATATTTATTTATTTATTTATTTATATTTATATGAATTAAGGTCCACTATATCAAACCAAGGCAGACCCAAATAAATTTATCTACACATATTTCTCTAACTGTAATTAAACTCACCACTGAAATCACTTCTTCTTCATGGTTCATATTTAATAAGAGTTCAACAAGCTCAACATGACCATGTCTTGCAGCGTACATTAAGGTTGTACTAATTTTTCAAATTATTGTTTTTATTATTATTATTATTGTTGTTGTTGTTATCAATATAAATATATATATTATTTAAACGACATTTACTAGTTATTACTTGGATCCGGATTCTGTATATTTGGAACCTTTTTTATGAGTCTTTTCACAGCAGGTATATTGCCATCTACATATAAAATTCCAAAATGAATTATAGTTTAAAGCTTTTGCATATCTATATACATGTCTGTGCTGGTCTCTCTCCCTCTCTCTCTCTCTCTTTCTGTGTGTTTGTACGTTTTTGCAAAATATAATAAAGACAGACAGGAATGCAGAAAGACAAACAGACAAACAGACATACTGTATATTCCTTTCTTTCTTTATCTATGCATGTATACATTTACGTGTATAATGATTATATACCAATGGCTGCTTGTCGTAATCGTACAGCAGGAGTTTCTCTGCCGGTAGCTGCTCTTTGAAAATCGAAAAACGAGGTAACTGGGACAGTCTTTTTTTGTTGATTCATCCACAATGGTGTGCTCATTATATTTTATTTTATTCTTGTTTAATAAAGAAACAAACAGGTTAATGAAGATGGAGTAGAAAGAGAGCAAAAACGTTGGCGGTAATTTAATTACCTCTTGTAATATATATTAATAATAATAAAAAGGGAAAGAGAAAGAGAGAAAGGGGAGTAAGATGAACAAGTGTGCAGCATAAAAAAAGTCACGAGCCGCGTGGGTTTCATATTTTTATATATATAATACTGTATTATACTATACAAACCTATACACATACACATTATACACATACACACACATTTATATATATATATATATAGCTTGTAATTAATAGTCATGGAAGAAAGCGAACAAGGAGATCAAGAATGCATTTACCAAACCAGAGCTCATTTTGATCATCTTGATCAAGTTATCGAATGCCTGAATATTTTGGTCAAACCCAACCAAGGCCAAGACCGAGCTCAGGTTCAAGACACACAAGCCAAAGCTATTCTTTCCATTCGCGATGTGGTAACATATATATAATACATAAAAAAAATTACATTCAACATCTTACATCTCGGTTTGTTTGTTTTTTCTTTCACTTCTCTTAGCTTGCCTTGTATCAAGAACAAGCTCATTTACTTGACCATCACCTTGAAGACTTGGTTGAACCCGCAGTTGCAAAACTCCGCAAGGATATTGACATCTGGGGACAAACTCATACAGTGTCAACCCAAACTCACCTATTGTTTCGGTACCTGTATCTATTGACAAAGACTCGAGGATACAAGACAATTGGTACATAGATATAGATACAGAAATATATATATATATATATATATATATATCGTCATTTAGGTATAATCATGCTTAACTTTTTATTTATTTATTTATTTTATTTTAACTTTTGGTAGTCAAATTCATGTCACATAATGTGGATGATCTTGAGCCTGTTTTTGAATTTTTATGTAGTCTGGACCCTAGTGACAGCAGGACATGGGAAAGTCGCTATGTTTGTTTCATCTGGCTTTCGTTGATTTGCATGATTCCGTTTGATCTAAAGCGAGTTGACAGTGGAGCTGGACAGAAATCCCAAGAGTCCTTGATTGTCAAGATGTTGACACTGTGTAAGAGCTATCTGCAGATAACCGGTAAAGAAAGAGATGGTGCAAGTCTCTTGGTTGCCAGACTGCTGAGCAGGTATATGAAAAAGAATAAGAAGAAGAAGAAAAAGATGTGTACAATTTCTTATATATATATATATGTGTGTGTGTGTGTTAATATTAGACGTGATCTTTGCGATGAACATTTAATTCCTTTTATCCAGTGGTGTGAACAAAGACTTGGCTCAGAAATCGATGTTTTTGAAGTAAATAAAACAAAAGCAAAGCAAAGCAAATCAAATCAAATTAGAGCAATGTGTTTATTATTTATATTAGACTGCTGGCATTCTCTCTAGTCTGTGCGATACATATCAACTGTCTCCTAGAGAAGTTCTCTGGCCAACATTGGATGATCATATCATTCCAATTCTTAATCTACCCTTCTTTGCCACCTTTGCGGACAATGCTCTTATCCGTAAATTACGTACAAAACTTACCCAACGTGTCGGTCTCTGTTATCTCAAACCAAAGATTGCTACCTGGAGATATCAACGAGGTATAAATTAAAAAAAAAGGCAAAAATCAACACCCATATATATATATATATATAATTATATTCATTTTTTCTCTTGGTTGTTTTTATAGGCAATCGATCGTTGAGGCAGAATTTGGAGACTACAGATATTTCTGGAAGTTCTCAAACACACACCAACCGCGTCAAATCCAAGACAGTAGGAGAAGAGGAAGAGGAAGAGGAAGAAGAAGAAGATATTTCTGAAAATCTTGAAGTCATTTTTGATATTCTATTGACCGGACTTCGTGACAAGGTAACCAAGAATATATATATATATATATTATAATTCTAAAATTTTCTTTGCCTGGGAAATAAAATAGGATACAATTGTGCGATGGTCGGCAGCAAAGGGAATAGGACGAATTACTCAGAGATTACCACGCGAACTTGCAGAGGATGTTATTGGGTCTATTTTAGAGTTATTTGAAGAAAACACTTATACCGATCCCAAAACCCAAAAGATTGACATGACGGCTGTATCCGAGAATACCTGGCACGGAGCATCCCTTGCTGTGGCCGAACTTGCTCGTCGAGGGCTGTTACTACCTGAACGACTGACGGAAACTGTTCCTTGGATTGTGCACGTAAGTCCAAAAAAACATATACAAAGGAAATGAATAGATGTCAAGTCAAGATAGATAGATAGATAGATAGATATTTATTTTTATTTGTATATGATAGGGTCTCAAATTTGATTTGAAACGAGGATCACACTCAATTGGTTCTCACGTCAGAGACGCTGCCTGTTATGTGTGCTGGTCATTTGCAAGAGCCTATGCACCTTCTATCCTTGAACCATTCGTTGAAAAGATTGCACAGAATTTGGTCGTAGTATCCGTGTTTGATCGTGAGATTAATATCCGTAGAGCCAGTAGTGCTGCATTTCAGGAGAATGTTGGCAGACAGGTAACTATATATGTATATAATATTTTATAATTTGACAAAGAAGAGAGAGAGAGAGAAGGAAGGGGTATTAAGTAAGGGAGGGGAGAAGGGAGAGTAAAAAACCCTCCTTGCTTTTTGCCTTTTGATTATAACCTTTTGTTTGAAAATTATCAAGGGGGAGGATTTGGTTAAAAGAGAGAGAGAGGGGGGGGGGGGGGGGGGGGGGATAAGGGGAGAGGGAATTAAATGGTCCTTTTTTTTTGGGTGTGTGTGTGTGTGCATTAATGTATTAATGTATTTGTTTATTTATTGTAAAGGGAATCTTTCCTCGTGGAATTGATATCATTCAAACGGCAGATTACTTTTCAGTTGGTAATCGAAGCAATTCATTTTTGTCTGTTGCTATTGAGATTGCAAAGTAAGTAACAAGTAAAAAATTAAATTAAATTGATTAATTAGGTAATTTAAAGAAGTAGTAGTTTTTCTAATATATATATATATATATGTTTGTATTGGTGGAATAGGTTTGATGAATATCGTTACCATTTGATTGACCATTTGGTGAACATTACTGCCAAACATTGGGACAAGGCTATGCGAGTTCTTGCCTCAAAGGCACTGTTTGAGCTTACTGCTCTTGATCCAATCTACATGATAAACACAGCTATTCCAACCTTGGTATTTTCTTCTTCTTATTCTTTTCATACACATTTGTTTGTTTGTTTGTTTGTGTGTGTGTGTGCGTGCGTGTGCTTGTTTGTTTGTTTACCAACTCATTTAAAATATTGATTTCTTTATTTATCAAGATACCTTTTACTGTGTCCAAGGATCTACAAATCTCACATGGTGCCATGTTGGCTTTAGCTGAGATCTGCTTGGCATTAGGAGAGTGTCGTCAAAAAGATGCAAAACTAGAAGAATATTGGCAGTCCAAGTCAGAGATGATAAAGGTAAATACTCTATAACAATAATTATTATTATTATTATTTGGTTTTACGTGTATAAAGATGGACATTTAAAGAAGCTTAAAATAAATACTAAATAAATGTATAAAAAAAAAGTCTATTGCAAATATTGTACCTTTACTTCCTCCAAGATCCTTGACAACGTTTGGTTCCGAACACATCCGTGAGGCGGCTTGTCACTTGATCGAATGCCTTTCATATGCAAAGTTTCCATCGTTTCCGGACACCAAGATCCTGGAGTCTTGGAAGAGTATGGTGCTTAGCTCTCTGAGACGCAAAGAAGAAAACGTGCAAGAATATGCCGTGGCTGCGTTTGGGGCCATGCTTGGACAGTATGGAATCACACAGCAAGACATGGACATGTTCTTGGAGAGCATTCTTGTGGATAGTGTGATGTATGCTCGGCGAGGATTTGCACTTGCACTTGGTACGATTAAGTATGACACAGAGCAGCGACTGGTCTGGCTACATGTTGTGATTGAGAAGTTGTGTTTTGCCACTCGCAAGCAGGTAAGATTTTATTTTAAAGGCTTTTTTCGTCTATTAACAAGACTCTCTCTCTCTCTCTCTTTTTTATGTTTGATTTAGAAAGACGAACAGTATGCAAATGATGCAGCAGCTAAAAGAAACGCGGTCATTGGTCTGACTAATATTCTTAAAGGTCTTGGAGATAGACTAAAAGAAGGTAATACACGATATCTATATAGATATATTATAGTGAGAAAGAGATCTTTATAACTATACAAGACAAGATAATACTTGCAAATTTTATTAATTTTTTTTTAAAAAAAAAAGTGATTTCTTTAGAAGAGTTCAAATTGATTCTATTTACTCTGGAGACCTGTCTGACAGACTACAGTATCGATCAACGTGGTGATGTTGGATCGTGGGTGCGCGTGGCAAGCATGGAGTGTTTGCACTACCTGATTCCTCGTGTCGCCGGACTGGATACGCCTGGCTCCAAATATCTGACCAAGGATGACACTGGTCGCGTGATTTCTGCGTTACTCAAACAGGGTGTTGAGCGTATCGACAGAGTGAGAGCCAGTGCTGGTGTGGTTGTCAATGATTTCATTGACCCTGTGTCTCCAACGTCTCCTCAGATGGCGATGGAAATACCTGGTCGAGATGTACTTCAGAAACACATTACACGGTAACAATTTTTTTTATTTTTTTTTACTATGTCTTGCTGTTAGTTATTTCTTTACATTAGTCACTTTAAAGAAATTGGTTGTTTCAAAAGATTATATATGTATATTAATATTAATATTAATATTTTATTTTATTTTTTAATCTATTGATCTATTTATTTGTTGAATTCAAGTGACCTATCTTGGGCATCGGCTTCTACCTTGTATCCCGTCATGGTTCATATTCTTGCCCTTCCGATGTATCGGTTTGAGCTCCTTACTGGGTTAATTTCCAGTGCGGGAGGATTAACTGAATCATTGGTAAGGAACAAAAGCAAAGTTTAGATGGAATTGCCATTTTTTACCTTTCCGTATAAAAAAGAAAAAGAATGTAGCCTTTTGTTTGTTTGTTTATTTATTTATTTATTTATTTTACACATGCTTTTGAATCTGTCCCAGGTTCGTCACTCTAGTGCTTGTTTGATTGAGTATATGAACAGCCTTCCGGTGGGACAAACCCAAGTTAAAACTACAGCTACAGTTAAAACTAATGTCCAACCCCAAAACCAAAACCAAAACCAAAACCAAGATCAAGATCATGGCCAGTCAGCTACTATCGGTACCAGTGAGGCCACACTCCAGGATATTTCAATGACACTTCTTGCCATATTTGCCAAAAATGAAAAATATGACCGAATCACACTACCTCTATTGGATGTTATCGGCTTGTTGTATGAATCAGGAACTCTTTCAAAGTTAGAAGATGAAACAATGTAAGTTTAGTACACCAGCACCAGAAGAAAAAGAGAAAAAAAAAACATTATTATTACCATTAACTATTTTCTAAATATAATTATAATTATAATCTTATCTTTGTTTTGGTAGTCATTCAAAAATACTTTCTTACACTAGACGAGAGACTTTCAGGTGCAAAAACATAAAGAAGCTACTGTCGGCTATCAAAGTGTAAGTTGTATATAAAACTTTTGGTTGTGCCAACGAAAATTACAAAATAAGGAAATAAATAAAATAAAAGAAGCTTAATTAATTTTTTTTTATGTATATGAATTTGTTTCAGGTATGTTGGGCTTATTCTTCTACAGAATACAGCAGTCAAAACAAAGGCTCTTCAACAAATGTTGTCTTATTTGGTACATGCATTCCCTCGAGTAAGTTTTATACTTTTTTGTTGTTGTTGTTGTCATGGCTATGGTTTATATAAGCCACTTGGATATTGCCTATTTGTGAGTTATTTTATTTTCTTGTTGCTGACTATTGTTATTTTTATTTTTATTTTTCCTTTGGCTTTTAGATTCGTGTAGAAGTTGCAGATCAACTCTATACATATATCTCCCTTTTGGATGAAGATGAACTAACAGTTGAACTCCAAGAGGCAGAAGAAATCATTACAACCACTGATTGGTAAGTTGATATTATTATTAATAATCATGTATTAATACAATATATATATGTATATATGTATGTATGTAAAAGGTCGGGTCCAGTAACGGAAATCAAGCCAGTCAGAGATGAACTCTATACACTTTTCGATATCCCAAAGCCAGTGCTTAAAGCAAGTGCTTAAAATATATATATATATATAAATTAAATTAAATCCCCGATATCTTTCACTCCCCCTTTTTGATTTTATTTTATTTTATTTTTCTTTGAGGTCAGTAGAATAAGCCACTCTGTTGGAACTTATACAACAAAAGAAAGGTCCAAATTTTATGCCATTAAAATAAAATAATATATATATATTTTTATTTAAATTTTATTTTATTGTATTTTATTTTATTTTATTTTATATATTTCATCTTTATATAATATACATACACACATGCCTCCAATTCCCAAAAAGCGGAAACTCAAGCAGAGTCTCAAGAAAGTACTTTCGGATGCAAAGGCTGCTGAGATCAAGCGTGAAAAAGAAAAGACCCGTGAAGAGATCTACAATCGCACCAAACAGAATGTGAATGGAATCAGCAAACAGGCCCGAGCCAAGCCTACCTACACATCGGCCGACAAGATCCTGCTGATCGGTGAAGGAAACTTTTCGTTTGCCAGAGCGCTTTCGGAAAAGTACCTGACCGAGGGATCCGAGAATATGGTGGCAACCTGCTTTGATAGCGAAGAGGTCGTATTCAAAAAGTACGGTGAAGAAGTCAAGGATAATGTTGCCTACATTGAGTCTCTGGGTGGAAAGGTTCTCTATGGTGTGGACGGTACTCAATTGGACAAGTGCAAGGCCATCAAGCATAATTTGTTCTCCAGAATTGTCTTTAACTTTCCTCACGCAGGTAAATACAACTACACACACACACACACATATATATATATATATATATATATAAGTTTATGGATACAAGAACAGAAAACTAATATATATATATATATACATAAATAAATAAATAAATTATAGGCTCTGGTATCAAGGATCAGAACCGAAATGTGCGTGCTAACCAGGAACTGATGACTGCCTTTTTTGCATCTGCTGCACCTCGCCTGACTGATGGAAAGCGTACAAGATACGAGAAGCATGTATCAGCCAAGACAAAACAAGAACAAAAAGACAATGAAGAGGAAGATGAGGAAGAGGAAGAAGAGGAAGAAGAAAAGGATACCACACTGGAGCAAGAACCTCTTGGTCATGGTGAAATCCATGTTTCCATGAAGACTTGCAAACCCTACAATTTGTGGGCCGTGCGCAACTTGGCAAAGGCTGGTAACCTTGGAACCAAGACAACCTTCAAGTTCCACCCTGAGGACTACCCTGGGTACGAGCACAGACGCACCATTGGATTCAAGGAAGGAGTGAGCAAGGGTGGAAATGCAGAGATCCTGAGCTCTGAACCCAAGACATTTGTGTTTGTTCAGAAGAAGGTTGTGGAGAAGGAGATCGGAAAGTCTGTTCAGGGCAGAATTGACAAGAAGGAAAATGCTGGAAAGAAGAACAAGAACAAGAACAAGAACAAGCGCAAGAGAAATGAAGATGATGATCTTGATCTTGATTAATAAAGAAAGAACGAAAGAGAAATGTACATACCATTTGAATATCTATAGAATATTAATAAATAAAACAACATATAACAACATATAAAAATATAAACTATGGTTCATTTGTACTTGTTCAAACTAAAAGACTTATAATTTTAGTTTTTTTATCTCAAACTTTATTTTTCACTTCCCGTTTAATTTTAAGAATTGACGCTATTTAAATTAGTTTTATTTTCCGCTTATCATCCAGTTATAAATGTGAATTCTTACAATCTCATATTTACAGACAGTGCTTTAAAGAAGAGTACTGGGTTCCAAATACCAAAGTTGGTATTTGTATTGGGATACCGTCTACCCGATTTGTATATCAGATATAACAATTATAAAAATAAAAAGGGAAATAAATAGACTCGTATATATATATGTATGTATGTATATTCTTGGAGGAAACTTTATATAAATACAATATTGGTTTTTTGATTTGTTTTGATTTGTTTCGTTTTTACCTTTTTTTTATTATTATTATTATTTTGTTCTAATTTTAGTTTCTTATTAGCACAAAAGATATCGATAGATTGTGTAAGAGTCAATTATTGTTGGGTAAAAGAAAAAAGTGGGGAAGACGAGCTTTTTTTTTTATGAAGTAAAAAATAAATTGCAAAAAAAAGGTATCCTTGGTTTCAGTTATTGAGATTCGAAAAGGTTGTTTTATTGCTATTGTTCTTGTTACTATTACCATGCGTTATATATATATATATATATATAATATAAAAAAAAAGAAAGACAAGAAATGAGGTCACAGTTCTTTATGTATATAAATATAAGTATTTCACAAGAAATGTTAGTGTGAAGATAATGACAACAATGATAATAGTATTATTCCCAAAAGAAAACAAATAGAAAAAATACATATTGTCATTGATGACTACATTTGTATACATACATATTTGTATACTTATGTATACTATAGTTATGTAATTAGTTGCCATGCCAATTTTCTGTTTTTTTTTGTATTTTATTTGTTTAGTTGATTAGTTGGTTGCTATGTTGTTCTTAGTGTCAAACAATATCAAAAGTATATATTTTAATATATATATATATATATATAATATAAAAAAAATAAGAAATTAGAAATAAGAAATAAGAATATATTTTTATATTTATATTTTGTCCTACAGTTCACAGGTTATTTCGGAATACATAAAGCCTGTGCTGACATGACTCTTGTCAAAGTTGGTAATGTTATTTTTTTTTGTCCCTCTCTTGTTTCCCTTTTCATATTTCTTTATTTGGCTTTGTACGGCCATCAGAGGTCATGGGCTCTTTGGGTTACACTCTATTTTCGGGTTACAATATCTTTACATATATATATATATATCCATAATATTTATTTATTTATTTATTTATTTAAAGAAGAAGAAGAATACTTTGGGTATTATAAAGATCATTAGATTAGATTTGAATTGAATAGTTGCTTAATAAATCCCAAAAGAACCAGTACTGGCAGACTATTAAAAACACAAGTATTCAGAGGTTAAAGATATCCATAGATATTAACATTCAATTTGACGTCTCCCGAAAGTGATACCAAAAAAATAAAAAATAAAAATATTTGATGGTTTTGATATATCCTGGTGTCATCTAGATTTTTTATTTTGTTATTTATTTATTTTGTTCTAACATGCCCTGTTTTTTTTTTTTTTTTTTTTTTTTTTTTTAAAAAAAAAAGAAAGTTTATAGTTCCAGGTCTGACTAGAAAGGAGGAGGAAGAGCAAGAGCAAGAGCAAGAGCAAGAGCAAGAGTCAAAGCAAGTAAAAGGATAATAGTTATATTGCACTATAGTGTGTGCTATAATGTGTGCTATAATGTGTACTGTGTACTGTGCACTATGTAGTATGTACTATAAGTATTTTTGGGTTTTTGTTTTGTTTTGATGCAGTACATCCTGCGGGGATACTCGTATAGTATCCAATATCTGTTAATTAGTTAATCCTGTCTATGGTGTATATATAGCTAGTATAATAATAACGATAATTGAAAGGGAGGGGGGTTGTATCCTTGCACCTATTTATCCACTTAATCGCATATACTATTCCATATTGTATAATACTATACACATTATACAGCGATACATACAAAAATACAGATACAAATACAGATACAGATACAGATACATACATATATATTTACATACATACATACGTACACACACACACATATATATATATATATAGTAGTTGAAAGAGGAGAAAGAGAGAGAGAGAGAGGAGGGGGTGGGGGTAATATCTTTAATAGTAATAATGAGAATAATACGTATTATTCTTCTAGACCTTTTGGTAGCTAAATATTTATATGTATACCACAAAAGTAATTGTGTCTGTAGTAGTATAATGCAAATATGGTGTGGTGTATATTGTGGTATAGTGTAGTGTAGTGTGCAAAGTGTGTAAAGAGTGTGCGTGTGTGTTACGGAAAACAAGGTAAGCAAACGGAACCAAAAATAAATAAATAAATAGATAATATAAAATAATATAAAATAAAAAGACTGCCTAGCAACAGCAAGAGGAAGAGGAAGAGCATATATGAACACCATAGCAACAGATTAAAAATAAGATGCACTTGATTTTTATTATTATTTCTATTATTTCTATTATTAATGTAATTATAATTATTGGGTAACAAACGCTTTACCATTTTGTCAGTTTCATCCCATATTCTATTTGATCATTTATACTAATATATATATATATATATAAATATATAAATATAAATATATTTTACGGCTCACTTCCGTTAAGAAAAAAGAAAAATTATAAATGTACACAATATATTTCCAAGCTGTGTGACATGTACACCTTTTATTTTTTATTTTCTTTCTTTCTTTCTTTCTCTCTTTCCTTTTCTTCTTATTTTATTATCCAATATAAATAAATAAATAAATATTTTATTTTATTTTATTTTTTCTTTTCTTTTCTTTTCTTTTCTTTCTTATTTCTTTTATATTTCTTTTATATTTATTTATTACTTCTTTAAAGAAGCCAAAAAAGGGAACTTCTTGTCCCGTCTCTTTTATATAAAATATCTGTATATTGTACATACAAAACACAAAACACAAAATATATATATATATATATATATATATATATATATATATATACATAAGCATAAGCATCTTTACCATTTATTCCTTTTATATTAATTGATTTATTTAATTAATTAATTAATTACTAATAATAATAATAATAATAATAATAATAATATTATGACATCCACAGCAGTGAGGTACCTTTATTTTAAAAACTAATCATTTTATTCTCAATCTAATCTCATCTTCTCATCTGTCATTCAAACTTCTTTAATCCAGGGTCGCATTACGTGTACGACCATTAACACAGAAAGAACGACTGAGTAACTGCAGCGAATGTCTAGCATTCATACCGGATGAACCGCAGATTCTTATCGGCACTGACAAGTCATTCACATACGACTATGTCTTTGATTCAAACATAAATCAAACTCAGGTCTATTCAAAAGCTGCTGCTCCTTTATTGCATAAATTTGTTGATGGGTAACAATTTATTTTTATAATATATTATCATCAATTGATTGATTATTAATTTTACCTTTATATATATATATATATTATATCTGTAGATTCAATGCTACAATATTAGCCTATGGGTAAATACACACAAACATACATTCAATTTAATTTAAAATTAATTTAATTTATATTATATTATATTATATTATATTATATATGTAGTCAAACTGGTTCAGGGAAAACCTACAGTATGGGAACTGGCTTAGAAAACGGCGCTGATCCTGAGAACGAAGGTAATTTTTGTTTTTTTTTTATTTAAATAAATCAAATAATTAAATATTTGTTTATATACTCACTTTGAAATATATATAAATATATATGTACAATTCTTTATTGAATGTAAAATTTTATCATATCTCTGTAGGAATCGTACCACGCTGTATAATCGATCTTTTCCAGTCTCTGCAGGACCGTGCAGAAAAAGAACCAGACTTCACATACGAGGTCTTTGTCTCCTTTTTAGAACTCTACAACGAAGAACTCATCGATCTCCTCAACCCACACTCCTCACAAAAAAGAAAATCCGGCCAACCAGCCCCACCAAACACAGAAGTCCTCATCCGAGAAGATCCCTCAGGCCACATCTATTGCAGCGGTGTACGGGAAGAAAGATGCGAAAGTCCAGATGAATTATTAAGGTAACAGAATTAACATCCCTATCACTATTAGTATCACTATCACTATCAATCTCACAATATATATTTATTTAGTTTCCTGGCAAAAGGTTCTCTATGCAGAACAACCGGATCAACAGAAATGAACACAGTCTCCTCTCGCTCTCACGCAATATTTTCGGTCATCCTCAAACAACAACGACCAGAAACAGAGGGAGATACCAAAAGAATGAAAAGTATAACCAGCAAATTCCACTTTGTCGATCTTGCAGGTTCTGAAAGAGTAAGTTCCCAATATATATATTTATATACTATATATCTAAGAATTTACTAATATCCTTTAATTGTTTTTTTTTTTAAAAAAAAATCAATCAATCAATAGTTAAAACGTACAAATGCTCAAGGTGATCGCGCAAAAGAAGGAATCGCAATCAACTCTGGACTTCTGACACTAGGAAATGTCATCAGTGCTCTTGGAGACGAAACCAGGCGTGCGGCCCATGTACCTTACCGTGACAGCAAACTCACCCGGCTTCTGCAGGACTCTCTTGGCGGCAACAGCCAGACCATGATGATGGCCTGTGTCTCGCCTGCCGACACAAACTTTATGGAGACCTTGAATACCCTCAAATACGCCAACCGGGCACGGAACATCAAGAACCGTGTCAGCGTCAATCAAGACTTTGCAGGCTCTTCAATCGAAGTCAACCAGCTCCGAGCACTCGTCGGCCGGCTGCGGATGGAGATTGCCGGCCTCAGACAAGACGGCGCCACAGATGGCTCAAGTGGAAACAATGGCCAGTACTCCCATTCATCAATGTCACGCAACACGACTTCGGCCGAAGACGAGGCAAAGATGATCGCCTTGAAGGCCGAAGTCTTACGGCTGCGGGAACGCATCGAGGACATCTCGAACAACATGGTCCAGGTCACCAGCGAGCGCGACACGTTGCGCATGGAGCGCGATCTGGGCGAGTTCATCGCAAACGAAGAGGGCTCGCCGCTGCTGACCGACAACCTTGGCTTTCTGGCCCACCAGGACCGCATCAAGTCGCACCCCCTCATCGAGGAGTACCAAAAGACCATCCAGAGCCTGACAAACGAGCTGGCAGATACCCGCGACCGGCTCGTCTTGGCCGAGTCCAAGCCAACCGTGCCAATCCGCACCGCCACCGCGCTCTTGCAGTCAACCGTCTCGGCAACCATGTCTTCAATCTCACAGCTAAACAAGACCAACAAGTCGTCTTTACCAGAGATGAGTGCCTCGAGCCAGCGCCGCAAGAAACAGCACCGTCGTCGCCGTCCAGCAGGCCGGCTCAGCACAAACTCCAGCAGTGCCACAAACACCGCACGTCCTTCGCGCATCTCCAAGATCGTCTCTGTCAAGCGGTCCCTGATGAATGCCACACCCGTCGCTCGCTCCTCGTCGGCATCGACATCGGCTGCTCTTGGTAACCGCCCAGATACCAGTCTTTCGGAATACGTTGACGAAGACGAAGACGAAGGCTATGTCAACGACCTTGTCGGCGCCGACGAAGATGTCCGCAGCGAAGTCAAGGAAAGCATTGCCAAGGCCCGGGCGGAGATCCGCAAGGGCATGGAAGTGCTCGAGCTTATCCGGCCCATGGAAGAAACAACCGAGGCATGGGAAGAAGAACTGAGGGCTTTTGAGGCCGAAGAAGAACGCATGTATGCCAGCGCAGGCCTCAGTCGCCCCACCATGGACGAGGGCAACTTCTCGGCATCTCCGTCGCCCGTTGACCGCCCAGACTCTACTGACCAAGAGCTTCTGGATGAAATCAATGCGCTTGCGGTGCCTACCTGGGAAGAAGCCTCATCCTCCAACCAAGAGCAGCAATTACAACTGCTACAGAGCCAACAGACCCAGCAACGTCCGTTTTCTGCAACTCCTCATCAGTTTGATGGCCGAAACAGCAGCGATCGTGGCAGCAGCGTGTTCTCATCAATGGGCTCCAGATGCTCGATGCGCGGCCTGCTGGAAACAAAACACAATCCTCAGCTGGCTCGGATGCTGCACCAGATCCAGTCTGACATCAAGGTCAAGGAAGACCTGGTTTCTCATCTGGAGAAGTCTGAGAACGAGTACTCGTTTATGCGCCGCCGGTTTGATGACAAGATCAACAAGCTGCAGACCCAGCTAATCGAGATCCAAAAGGAGCGCGACCTTGCGATCTCGCGCACGACCACCAATGCCACGGCCGGCACTCGCTCTGGTGCTGCAAACACAGCTGCCAGCAAAGCCGACCTTAATGCTCAGGTGCGCGAGAAACAGCTGGTGATTGACATCCGCCAGGCCTACGAGGCCAAGACCAAGAACCTGCTGAATGAGATCCAGGACCTGAAGCGCAAGTACGCCGCAACCACGGCCACAATGCAGGCCACACGCAACCAGAACGAAGGCCTGATGCGGTCGCTCAAGGCCAATGTGGACACCCTGATTCTCGAGAAGAAGCGGATGGTCAAGCGGATGAAGCAAGAGACCGAGCGGGTGCGCGAACAGATGTCCTTGCAGGAGCGCAAGATCCAGCTGCTGCAGCGCCAGCAGCTGGAGTCCAACACTTCACGACGCCGGCTGGAGCGCGAGCACGAGATGCAGAAGCAGACCCTGAAGAAGCGGTCCGAGGAGGTGCTTGTGAACGCCGACCAGCTCAAGCAACTGACCAACATGCTCAAGAAAGCTGTGCGGGAAGGTGGAATTCTCGACGAGCGCCTGCTGAGCCGTGTGTCGCACATTATGGGCGGCAATTTTGCGGTCCTGGCTCGTGGTGGACACGGGTTCCCTCGCAGGAATGGCAATAATGTCTATAATAACTATGCCAACAGTAGTGGCCGTAAGAAGGTCAATTCGATACCGCTTGCTACGCGTGCGACTCGCAAGAAGCAGCTGTTGGACCGTGCGCTCTACCAGTACATCCAAGGCAAACAGGCGGTGTTTGAGATGGAGCAGTTGCTGGTCAGACGGGAACGGCTGGCCGAAGAGCGTGTGGCACTGACGGAGGAGCGCAAGAGTGTGTACTTTTCGGAAAAGCTGCGAGCCGAAAGCACTGGCGAGCCTGTTGATCTGTCGGCCATTGAGTTTACAGATGACCGTATTGAAAGCATTTCGGCTGAGATTGATTATCTCTCGGCTCGCATCCGGTCGTTGCAGTCCGAGGCGGCTGGTGGCGGTGGTGGTGGAAGTGGGGGACCAGAGTCGGGCGATCACGACCACAACCACAACGGCGGAGACGACGAAGACGACACGATCGACTTGACTCGTATGGTTCATAGCAGCCGGCCCGAAAGGGAAAGACGGAGGGTAACGTTTGCGGACGAGATCGTGACTGAGCCCCAGACACCGAACGACGAGTGGGCTGACATGGACGCATTTGAGGAGCAATACAGCGTATCGAACAATGCTGCGCCCGAGATGGCTTATGAGATCACTACGAAGATTCTAAAGTCGCTTGAGCCGGATGAGTGCAAGCGTATTGCGGAGAATCTTGTGAATGATATCATGGACTTGCGTATGAGCGAGGGCAATCTGCAGGTGACGATGAAGAACCTTGAAAAGACCTCGCAGGATCTCCGGCGGACACTGGTAGTGATGAAGCGGGCTGCCATTACTACGACAGTTGAGAACGAGAGACGGATCCGCAAGTTAGAAGAAGGACGGTCGCCTAGCCGAGTGATGGGAGGCAGTGTAGTGTATGGAAATGGAAGTGTGGTCGGGTCTTTGTCTGGGATAAGCCTTGATGATCAGCAGAATAGTGCGATTGATATGAAGATTGAGGAGTATATCAATAGTGGGGATACCATATTCGACAAGATTTACGAAGACGGGCTTCGTGGTATGATTGCTACACCCGAGCCGGATGTGAACTTTCCTTGTTCGGCACGTGCATCGCCAGTTTCGTCGGTGGGTTCACTTCATGAGGACACGTTGATTACCCCACCGTCGCCTCGTACTTCGCCGAGTTATGCGATGTATCGTAGCAGCATTAGTATGAATGGACCTAATGGTTCAGGAGGATGCCCGACGTCTGTGATGAAGCCACCGTCGCCACTTGTTGGAGTGATGAGCCGAGACCTTGCGGGGCGGGAGGTGACACCATCGCCTGACCGTTTCTTGAATATGATCCAACGACGTGTGTGGCAGCAGGAGCAACAGGGCAGAAATGGATCAGAATCTCCGATACCGATTACAGTCGTGAATTCGGCCGAGTTTTCCCGTTACACGACTGATCGTGATTCGTCGACGTCTTCTATCCGAAGCAGCCACTTGCGTCGGTCGTCTGTGCAGTCTGATTATTCGTCTTCTCAATCTCAGCACTCCTGGAATCAAAACCAACAAGCCCAGGCAGCTCAAGCAGCTCAGGCAGCTCAGGCAGGGGGACAGACAGGGTTCTCGATGAGTATGCAGGGAACTCTTCGCAAGAGATCTCACTCTTTGCAACAGCTGCAGCAACAGGCTCTTCAGCAAGCCCAAGGCCAAGGCCAAGGCCAGCTCCAACTCCAGTTACCGCAGAGTCCGCAGACGCCGCTTGGCTCACAAACCCACCACCAGGCACGACGACGGGCATCGCTGCGTGAGTTATCGTTGGTCGGCGCTCAAGTGAGTAGCAATGGCGCGATTCCCAACACAAACATGAATACGGGTTACAACACTAGTAATGTTATAATCAGCCGAGATGTGACTGAGCAAGATGCATATGAATATTATATTCATAATCAACCTCCTCAACTGCCATCCTCACCCCTTGCCACGTACTCCCACCAGCAACAGCAACAACAACAGCCTATTCAACGAGCGACTTCCAAACGTGCCCAACAATCACAGTCACCTCATGTGGCCAGTGTTTCTTCTATGGACCGGATCAGTACACCAACGGGTGGAAATGTGTTTGCAAGGCTTTCCCAGACACCAACACGGGCATCCAGAGCCAAGGTTGCCTATCGTCACAGCAGCGGCAGTGTAGATGATCTCAAGCGTCGTTGGGATCTTGATCAACAGCAACGAACTGTCAGTTCATTAAGTGACACTTAAAAAAAAAAATCATTTTCCATCTTTCATGCTATACCCTCCCTCGTTCCCTCTTTTTTTTTTTTCATTTTATATATCCTTATCATCTGTCTATTCTTATTTTTATATATTTATTTTATTTTATTTTATTAAATGTAATATTAAACTTCTTTATTTTATTTTTTTTTAATTATTTTTTTTATATATAAAAAATAATCATAATTAATTCCTTGTTCTTCTTCTTTTTTTTTTATATAAAAAATAAAATATTAAAGAAACAAAATAAAATTGTGATTTGATTTGACTTGAAAAATATTATTATTATTTTTTCTGTCAAAAAAAAAAAAAAAAAAAAAAAAAAAAGTTCAAAAAAAGGAGAATTGCACAGACCTTCATTGTACAAACAAGTGATCAAATAAAATCTGTGCTTCTTTATTTCTATTTCTATTTGTCAGACATATCTATCAATCAAGCAAGCATAATGAAGTATTATATTATTCTTAAGAATCGCAAAATTTATCCTGACTCCCCCCAAAAAATAAATAAATACTGTGCAATGTCCAGTGCTTTTTGTTTTACACTGAAAAAGAAGATGAAGAAGAAAAAAGATATTCATCTCAGAATCACCTGATAATTCGGAGTTGAACTTTTTATAAATAAGAATTACTCACAGTAGGTGATATTATTATAGCGCACTACCAATGTTAAAATAAAAAAAAGGGAGCCTATCGCAATTCACGGACGAACCATTTGCGTGCAGGCCATCAAGGTTTTCTAAATAGGTCATACGATCAAGTTTGGTTGGTTCTCCTTATTCTCATCTAGTCTCCAAAGTCGTACATTATTTCTCTTTTGAAGTTGATTTCTGAAGCTTGCTCCGAGATCCAAGAAATTATAGGTATCTAGGCAACATTCTGCCTGCCATTTGACTCTATATCATTCTTATTTTTTTAGATCCATGATTGATATACTACTATATAGCGATATTTTGTAGCTCGTAAGTTTAGGGTGCATGGTTCAAGCTGTCCAATAAAGTTTATCACTATATACTATACACACTACAAAGAAAATAAAAACCTTAAATGCAAATAGCCGCTTATTACCACTACGTTTTTTTTTGTTAAATTATATCCTTGCTGTAAAATATACAGTGGAATTGTTTGTTTCAATTTTTTTATTATTATTGTTATTATTAAGAAGAAGAAATAGAATAGAGGGCCATAGAATGTGATTGGTTTATGTACATGCTTGAGGAATATTAATATTAATAATAATAATAAGGTGAAATATAGGAACAATGGCAATAAGTGAAATTAAAGAAGAAAGGCTTAACAAGAATAAAAATAAGAAACAATAAGCAATAAGAACAAAAGAAGAATAAGAAAATAGTGTAAATAAATGGTATGCAAACAAAAAAATAAATGGCGTGTGTGATAAATAGAGAAAGAAGAAGAAAGTGCGATTAAGGTTGTGATTGTGAATTGAGGAAGAGGAAGAGGAAGAGGGCGTGAAGATCAATAGAGAGCAAAAATATAAGAAAAGTATAGAGGCAATGATTATAATGACAATAAGATAAAGGTTGTTTGGTTGACTTTTGGTTGAATTTTTTTTTTCCTGTTTTGTCTTTGTCTTTAGCGAAGATTGTTTCCAGATACATCGCGTAAAGAGCGAGTGCGAGGGTTCAAACTGTCTGATGCTTGGGCCGCATTGTTCTTTGGAGCACACATGAGAGGAAGACGCTTTCGGGGAAGCTCGACCACGATTCTCTTGCGTCGTGCATTGTCGCTGCAGGCAGAGTCACAGAACCAGGCTTCATCGCTTGCCACAAATGTGTCGGTCAGTCCGTGATGCTCGGATGCACACTTTTGATGGAGTGCTTTCGGACATCCCTCACATCGGACCAGTACATTGTCCTGCCACGATTCCTGGCGCTGGCATCCAGAACAGAACAACTGAAGCACAGGCCGGTCACGATCATCAATAGACTCCTTTGCAAATCCTGTTAGGTCAAGTCGGGGCAATTTGCAGGCAAATCCATAGCCCTTGTAATCACATCCATGCTTACTATTGTTTTTAGATAAACATTAGTCTCAAGTTTCTTTCCAGCTTATTCGCACGCTGTCAAATAAATAATAGAAAGAATATAGGATCTTATCATCCAATCAAACTTACTTGCACAAAGTACGCTTTCCCCAAGGTCCAGGGCGCCAATTGACTCCTTCGGTTGTTCCACAGTAGCGGCACCAGTCCACATTTGCCTTTGTGAGCTTCTGATAGATGGTAGGCTGGCAAGTCGATCGGCAAGGAACTTGTGTAGATGTCGAGTCTTTCTCACAGCTCTTTTCATTATCTTCATCACCAGAGCTCATGGTCTCTTCGTCTTCGTTTTCCACATTCTCTTCATAGTTCTCATCGTCTTTTTTTATTGTCACAACTGGTGTAGGCTTTTGGTTACGACGGTTGGTCTTATGTTTCTGGTTGCTGTGATGATCGAATGTCTTTTGTCTTTCCCATTGGGAAACTACTGATTCATCATCGTCTTCGTCGTCTTCGTCGTCGTCGTCGTCTTCTTCGTCTTCATCATCATCGTCGTCCTCCGATGCCGAGAGTTGATGATCGCCAGCTGAAAACATTTGACTGTCCGATGAAGCGGATAGGTGCGTGCTCGTGCTTTCAAATCCGAAAGGGTCAACAGCACTACGATGGGGGACAATGAGGTCAGCACATTATAAATTATAAATTATTTATTTATTTATTTATTTATTTATTTATTTATTTTTATTATATTTAAAAATAAGCTACACACAATCCAAAAAAAGAATCCAATAAAAATAAAACGCACACACCTCACAAATTATATATAGTTTATCTATCTATCTATCTATCACTCTATTACTATCATCAAATTCACTATCTAAATCCAACCTTTTCTCTCTTAGATACACACACAATTTATATACTATGCTTGTAATATATATATATATATATATATATAGTAATAATATAAATAAAAAGAAAACACTAAACTATACACATGGAATAACAAAAATAATAATATAAATATAGAAATTAATGCTTACCCATTCCAGCGAGCTACGCGGGCCGAGAGGGAATCCTCATCGTCGGAGCTTTCTTCATCTGAAGCAAAATAGGTATCGCCAAGAAGTTCATCTTGGGACACAGGCACGACCGAGGCCCGCCAGTTGGTTTGTTTCTGTTTCTTGACGTAACCACCAGCGGCCGCAGAAGCAGTAGGCTCTACATGTCCTGATTTGCGCTTCAGTCCACTACTGTTGGATCTGTCAAGAGTGATCTGACCGTAGCTGAGATCGCGATGGTCAGGGGGAGTCGGAAGAGTGCTAGCAGCACAATCAAGAAATGAACCTTGTGCCTTGTCAAAGTGAGAAAGTTGCAGGGAAAAAGCGGGTTTCTGCTTCACAGAGGACGAAGACAATCGGACTTGAGACTCATTAATCATCATTTGATTCTGTTGATGGGTATGCTGATTACAAGTATTATGCTGATGGTTATGCTGATGGTTATGCTGATGATTATGATTATGATTAATAAGAAGATGATATTGCTGTTGCTGTTGCTGTTGCTGTTGGTCTTCAAGTTCCAGACCAAAATAGAATAACGGGATTTCGTCAGAGGCACTCTGGAGAAGGAGATCGGTAGGTGTGTCATCATGGAGAGGCAGAGACATTCCGCTGTCGGACTCACTATCACTCTGGGAACAGGCTGATGACAGCGATTCGGGAGTGGTGGCGCGATTGTAGGCTGGTGTCATGGCTGGCGAAAAGAAGACATCCTTGACAAGGTCCTTTTGGGATTGGGGATCCAGAACAGTGTCATATGTAATTGTGGCATTTTCTAGGGTATGATGGATAGGAAGCTGCTGAACTGCTACAGGCTGATGATGTGGATGAGTCTGGGCTTGAGCTTGAGCATGAGCCTGAGCCTGAGCCTGAGCCTGAGCCTGGACCTGGGCCTGAGCATGAGCCTGAGCATGAGCCTGGGCTTGAGCGTGAACATGAGCATGAGCATGAGACTAATGATTATATTATAAACATTTGATGAGTTGATTTCTTTTTTAAAATAAAGAAATTATATATTTGGACTTACGTTGATTGTGGGAGGAGTTGGGCGTTGGTGGTAATTTTGCTGGACTTGATAATAATAGGCTGGGTGATGATGATAATAATCCACATAGGCAGAAATAGGAAGTGATGTTGCCATACTGGGCACAATGACGGGCGAATCACTACTGCTGCTATTGTTATTATTGCCATTACCGGTGGCACTATTGGTCGTAGTCGTGGTCGTGGTCGTGGTAGTCGTGTGCCTATTGATCTGACGGGGCGCAATCGCAGATGATTGAATAGGACGATGAAAAACTTGGCGATAGACTTGGTTATAGCTATTGGAGTTGGTCATGGTATTGATTGCATTGATGGTATTGATATTGCCACAGTTTTCCATGTTTGGCTGTGCACAGAACTCCTGAGGATAAGGTTGGATATGTGGCATGGCGCGAGAGTAACTCATGTTTATTATATTTTTTTTTAAAAAAAAAGTCCAATGGGATTATTATTATAATAGTAGATATATATATATATTTATATATTTATGTTCTTTAAACAAGAAGGGGTAGGGTCATGAAAAAGAAGGAAAGTAAAAGAGAGGGAGAAAGAAAGAAACAAAAAGAGAGAGAGAGAGAGAGAAAGGGTTTGCGAACAGGCCAGTGAATTTATAAGGTTCTTTCTGCAAAAAAAAAATCGATAGAGCGAGCGAGCCAACGAGCCAACGAGCCAGCAAACGGGCGAACGAACGAGCGAGCGAGCAAACGAGCGAACGAACGAGAGGCAGACAGGAAGGGGGTTCCAAAAAGGAAGACCACAGGAGAGTTCGACTATTCTTTTTGGGTTTTTTTTGGGGGGTGTGGGACAAGACAAAACGAAACGAGAAAAGACAAGACAACCAACCAACCGATTGAAAGAATACTGTCGCTACTGCTACTGTTGCTATTGCTACTGTCGCTACTGCTACTGTTGCTGATACTGTAGCCAGGCACATAGACACCCACACATAATAAAGATATAAAGTTATAATATTATACAATATAATATATACACAAAACGACAGATTTAATCCAAAAAGACTAATCAGAACCAAGAACGTGACACTTGGCCACTTTCTTCTAGCCCACCTAATTTAGTGAATCAGAGAGACACTGGTCCATATTAACCACACACCTTTAAAGCCGTCTCCGCCTCAAATAAATAAATAAGTATAGACGATATGATTGTCCAAAATGATACAATACACTATAGTACACTATAGTACGATGCAGTTACAGTAAAAGATACCGTTATAGTACCCTACATTTTACTATTATATATTTATTATTATTATTACAAAAAAATATTCCCTCTTGTTACTTTCGAAGATCCCTTTTTTTTTTCTTCCGTTTCCTAAATAAATATCACGCATTTATTCAATAAACCGAGGTGTCTGTGCTTGACTTTCTCTCTCTCTCTCTCTCTCTTTATCTATTATAGTTATATATTTTTTTGGGGGTTTCTTACATTTCAAAAATAAAATATATATAAAGCTTTTTGTTTTTATGTCAATTATTTGTTCAATTTTGTTTTCTGTATTGCCTATGTATCTATCTATTGGCTTAAAAATACTGCTTGGCTATTATTTGGTATTTAACCAATATAATAAAATACATAATTTGAAGATAAACAGCCACAAATATATAAGGATCCATTATATTTCAATAGTTAAAATAATTATCAACATTAATATTAATATCAATTTTTTTTTAAAAAAAAAACAATAACAATATCTAAAGCCACCCTGGTAAAGAATGGGTGACAAGCGCAATATATATTTTCTTGAAACTTTTCACTGCTATTTCATCAATGAAAAAAAAATTGGGGGGAAGGAAGGAGAGGCGGGGAGTGATAGTGATAGTAAAAGTATAAGTGAGAATTAGGTGTGAGTGTGGGAGTGGGAGTGTGGGATAAGTGGATAAGTGGAGATTGCCACCAAGCGGCATTTGGAGCACATGCAGCACTCGTGTTACACGCCTCGTGCTGCCTATATAATTTTTTATTTTTTTTGCAATTCCTAGACCCATTCTATTTTCTCACCCCACAAGCCCTTGCTTCCCAAGCCTGATTTTCTCTACACTTTGAGACTTTTTAGATGTATATAAATTAGGGCGTTTGGAACCTGGAGTACAAATCTAATGAGGATATTTCTCTTGTGTGTGTGTAGAATATGGCAAATAAGATCAAGATCTATGGGACCTGAACACATACAATACACAATACATCTACAGTACACACACATTGATACATATTCCCTAAAGAAATAAATATATATATATATATATATATATGCTTTTACGCAAAGAAAAATGCACGCTCCACAGAATTAATATGATTGTAAGACAAGGTGTGCTCTAAATACACAAGATAGTCTTATTCATTTTTCGACCATTTTTAATTATTATTATTTGATTGCTCTGTTCAGTAAACAAGAGGAATGTCCTAGATAATACTTGATTTTTAATACAAAACTTTTATAAAAGATTTCTAACTAGATGATAATAATAATAATAATAGTATTAGTAGTAGAATCGACTATTGTTTATAATCTGACTTGACTTGTCCTGGCTTTGTCTGTTTGCCTGTCTGGTCTGGTCTGGTCTGGTCTGGTTTGGTTTGGTTTGATTTGGTTTGGCCTGGTCTGACTTGACTTTTTGTTTTTTGTTTTTTTTTACCTGGCCTGATTTGACTTGATTTATTGATTTTACCTGACCTGACCTGACTTTACCTTGCCTGACCTGACTCAAAATAATAGTAAAATACGTATCCTAGCAACAAAGTAACATTGCAACCGTATCCAAGTCTACATATAAATTTGGATCCACGTCAATATTAATGTCAATATCAATAGTACTATCAGTAGTACTATCACTATCAATAGTAATGGTAATCGTAACAGTAGCAGTAACAGTAACGGTAACGGTAACAACGATAATGTCCTGTTTTTAGTACCCGCTGTGCAAAGCGACAATTAAGTTGTACGCCTCCCCCTCCTTTTTGGCTTCTGCCTTTTAATGAGATGAGATATTCCTCTTTTAATTATTATTTTATTTTCATACTGCCCAATCAACATTGACTGAGAAACACAAGCCTAGAATTGGCTTTTTATATAATATATTTTTAGGGTAGGAAAATAAAAAGGATAACTCGCGGGAATATTTTAAGACGGAATCGACGGGTTGAACCAAAGAAAATCATTTTTATTTTATTTTATTTTTAAAAAAAAAAGGTAGGGTCTATCTTTTGCTTATCTAGTAATGATATCTGGCAGAACACAAGAAACCAGAAATGATAGTAGTAAAGAAGACAAGTCCTTTTTATTTCTTTATCTAATTTTTTTCTTCATATATATATCTTATATTGTTGTTGCTTCTAGAAATGAATATTAAGATTATTGACACAAAGAGAATTCTAGTATATAATTCTGTCTTATAAATTTTATAATTTTATTCAGTCAGTCAATTTATTTTATCTGATCCTTGATAACTGAGTTAAAGATCTATATATATATGTCTGTCTGCATTTAAGAGATAGAGAGAGGAGGGTGAGAATTAAGTAGAGGATAAAGGTTGTGTTTAAATTCACCTTATTCACCTTATTCATTAACTCACTAAACCCTTCTTCTTCTTTCTCTATCTCTTTATGCATATATATATATATATATATTGTGTGTGTGAGCTTTTTGGGATCAATAACTATATCTCTCTAGATCGCTATTACAATATAAAACTATATATAAATGTGCTTGTGTGCGTGTGTAAATGCTTATTGCCTTGTTTTGTCCACGATAGACACGAATCAAATGGATTTCAGATTGCGGACAAGAGTGCAGATGGAAATCATTACAGCTTGTCCCACCATTAACCTTGTTCTACATTAATTACATCTTTCCTAATGTACTGCCGTCCAGTCGAATGGCTTTGGATTATATTATATTCCACTCTATACATTTATTTATTTATTTATTTATATAGAAGCTTTATTTCTGCGTTGAAATAATCAATATCAAAAAAAACCCCCCTGTGAATCAGAATTATCACTAAATTAGAAATTCAATAATCAATACAATACAATACAATCAAACAACATCAATTACTGCAAATTCTTAATAGCGTTCACTCTTAATATTTTCTTTCAATTATTATTGCCGTTGCATTCAGCTATTCTAATATATGAAATAATAGAATTCTAAAGATAACTAAAACCAAGTAAATAACAAAAATATTAATTTTAAATACTAGTAGTAAAAACAAAAACAAAAAAATGATAATAATTTTGGCATATAAATTTTTGTGTATATATTTACTTTAAAATAGCGCCAACTATTATATAAATAACCTTTTTCTTTATACTATAGTATAGTATAGTATTGATTTAATTAATTAATTAGTGTTATTATCTTTTGGTATGTATATATTGGCTTGGAAAAGCATACTACTTCCTTTGACTCTATATACATATAGTCATTTGGGTTTCCTTTGTGAAGTAAAGCTGATAGAAAATATTAATAAAATAAAAAACGAAAATGAAAATGAAAAGCATCAGGTCAGATAAGAGAACTTGTAGGAAATTGGCACAGCGAAACAACTGTGATTTTATACTACTATTACTATTATTACTATTATTTCATGTCATTTTTTTCTCTCTTTTTTTTTTTTTACATGTTTTTAGGTAGGCTGCATCTAATCGTAATTCTGACCGTGATTTTGATTGTAATTGTGACTGTGTCTGTGACTACAATTATGATTCTCTTCACTAGCAAAGAGAGAGAGAGAGACTTACAGCCAAGAGGCATATATTTATTTATAAGTTGATAAAGTTTGATTGTTTCCCACCCCAATTCCCGTATAAAGTAAGTCTCTCAGCACGTCCATTAAACCACGTTTCTCTAAAGCAATTCCATTTTTATTTTATTTGGGATTGCCACGCTAAAGTACTAAATCTAGAAACCAACCTCGCGCAAAACAATCAGCCTGTATATCTTCATTTGGCTGGTTGATTTTCCATCGTGCTCATCAATTAAAACAACCAACCAACCAACCAACCAAAAAAAAAAAAAAAAAAACTTTGGCCACGCGACTACACGTGGCAAATGTAGAGGAAAATGAGGCCTCTGCATTCTAGCAGAAAAAGTTTCCATGATTATTTAGTACAATTTATTCTATTAATCTAAAGGTTCACCTTTCTCTCTCTCTCTCTCTCTCACACACTTTATATATAGCTATTGTTAAAGCTAAAATAAGATAAGATAAGATAAGATAAAATAAAATAAAATATTTATATTTATTATTTTTAAAAAAAAAATGTACACCAAATAGTAGGTGAAATCAAAAATGAAGAAAATAAATGATATATAAGTAAGAGAGAGAATGTGAGAGAGGAGAGAGGGCAGTATATATTATATGATTGTTTAAAGGAATGACTAGAATAAAGGGAGAGAGGGAGACGGAGATAGAAGGAAGCATATGGGTGTGTAGTAGTTGACAGGTCTTTCAGAAGAAGTAGATTTAGAAGAAGTAGAGAAAGAGAAATTAAAACAGAAAAAATGAATAAATAAATAAATAAATAACTAAATAGAATGAGGCAAATAATAGACAAAGAATTTACAATAAGGTGGGGAAACAGAGGATTTAGAAGCACATGAACTTGTTCTTCTTGTTCATTAGCTCTTCCATTCTGTTCTCCAGAATATGTCGAGCCTTTTCTGCCTTTTCTTTCAATCGCTTTTCGGCTTCAAGTTCACTCTCCAACGCCTTTCTTTCTTCTGCAATGTGGTTTGCACTCGACAGTTGGTGAGTCTGGATCTGAGTCACCTGAGTTCGCAGGTTCTGGATTTCTAAAGCGTATGTCTGGCGCTCACGGTTCAATACATCAAGCTGCTTCTTGGCATCTCGCATAGAACTCTCTGAACGGGTCAGCTGGGCCTCTAGTTTAGAAATAACCTCTTGGTGCGCCTTGACATCATTCTCGGCAATGTGTGATTTGCGCTGTAGAGAACGGAGCATCTTCTCATACTGCTCGGATGTCACATTATCACCATGAATGCTGCTCATAATCTCACTGAACCCAGACGACGCATTGGAGTCCTGGCGAAGGAGCGAGACAGACAATACGCGGGTGGGCTGCATTGGTGGAGAGTGAGGAGGGCTCGAAGGAACAGGCGAGCCTGGAACAGCTGGAAGAGGACTTGGGATCGGTGGCAGAGGATTGGATGGAGGAGCAGACGGGGGAGGGAGATTCTGGACACTGCCGGCCGCTGCACGGTTGCGCATCATTGACGATCCTGCACGAGTAGTGTCGGATCGGATCGAGCTCACAGACCGGCGCTTCATAGATGTCTCTCTGTCTTCCTCGGTCTCGACAATAATCGTCCGGTATCCCGAGGGACTGGGCTTCTGGATCTTTGTCAAGCTTGAGTTGGACATCTCACGCTGGAGTTTATAGTGGAGCATGTTGGGAGGTAGTGCAGATGTAGGCGAAGAGACCCGAGGGGTGGGTGATGGCGAGGTAAAGATAATCGACTCGCGCGTAGTGGTTGGTGTAGAGACAGAGTTTCGAGGTATGATAACCTGCTCCATCTCTTTCTCAAGCCGGTCGTTGGCCGCCGTCTGCTTCATTACCTCCAACTCGAGGTTCTTGATCTCCAGTGTGAGCTGGCTTCTCTGCAACACAAGCTGACCTTCAAGGTCATCAACGTGGCGCATCAGATTCGAGTTATCCTCACTCAAGATGCACAGCTTGTCAATCAGTTCCATCTGTCCTTCAGGAGCCTGAAGCTTCTTGCTCAAATGCTCCTGAAATTCTCGGAGGCTTTCCTTCTGAGCTGCAGATGCCTGGTAGCTTTGTCGGTCCATGTGACTAATGCGACTCTCGAGCGCAGCAACCAGAGCATCTTTCTCAAGCAGTTCACGCTGTTGGTCTTCAATTTTCTGGAGCATTGTCTTTTCACTCGTTTCTTTCGAAATAAACGAGCGGCGAGCCAACGCCTTCTTTTCCTGTTCAAGTAATCTGATCCTCTTCTCGAGAGCAGCCGTGTGATTCTCGTCTGTTCCGAGCTCAGAAGACCCAATCTCACGCGGTACCCTAGACAAATTTGCGGCAAGGTTCTTTAAGGAGTGGGAGCGTGGCTCGGGTGAATGGATCTGGAGTGCATTGATGATGTCTTGGCAATCTTTGGTCTCCTTTTGGGCCTCAGCAAGATCTTCAAGTGCACGGTCACACTTTTCTTCGATGCTGGTAACTTCTATTCTGTGTGTCTTTTGCAAGGTCGACAATCTTTCCTCGAGCTCGGAAATCATGCCAGAGGTGTCGTTGGCAGCAACCAAGGCACGCTCGGTCTCGATAATCTTGCGCAGTTCTTCGACAGTGGCCTCAAGAGCAGATGTCTTGGCAGTCTGCGAGACAAGGCTTTGGTTCAGCATCTCGAGATCCGATGTCTTTTTCTCCAACTCAAGCAAGATTGCCCGGTGTTCTTTGGTTTCGCTTTCGATGATTTCGTCTAGCTCCTTAACCCGGGCCTCAAGGGCAGGAATACACTGAAGCTCGATGTCGGTTTGGATACGGTCTTCTTGAAGGGTCTTTATCAGAACCAGCTGGCTTTCAAGAGACGCCTTGGCCTGATCGCGCTCCTGTTGGAGTAGTCGGTTGGCTTCGTCAGCCTTGGAAGCACGGTCGGTGACTTCTTGCAGAACGTTAGACAAGGATTCCTTTTGGCCTGTAAGAAGTTCGACAGTCCGGCGCTTTTCTTCTAAATCTTCTTCTCGGATTACATACTGTTGGCGAAGATCCTTCAAGGTCTCAAAGGTACGGTCCGATTTGGCGTCTTGGATTCTCATCGTGCTTTCGACAAAGTGAATCACCATCTCGAGCTGTTTCTTTTCCACGCCCATACCACACACATCGCGCAGCACGCCCTCCATTTCTTTCTGCATCGACTGGGCCATCTGGGACTTCTTCTGGTTCTCAGCCTCAAGTTCACTGACTCGGCGTTCACGATCGGCAATCTGTTCACGCAGTCCGGTCGTCAGACGATCCATCTCAACAAGTTTAGCTTCCAGACCACGGATGATGATGTCTTGCTTTTCTTCTACCATGCGCAAAGCATTCAGATCCAGCTTAACTTTCTCGAGCTCTTGGAGGCGTAGACGCAGTGTGATTTGGGTACCCTGTTCGTGCTCCCACATGTGCTTGTGTAGAGTCTCGGTTGTCTGGGCAGCCTCTTCGACCTGGTACTTGAGCATGGCGTTGTCGGTCTCCAAAGCCTCGCAGATCTGTTCAGACATCCGTTTCTGGTCTACTTGTTTGGCACGTGCCGCCGAAAGCTCTTCTAAACAAACAGCGTGTTCAGCTCTCAAAAGGTTCAGAGCTTCTTCAAGCTGCTGGATCTGGGCTGTCTGCGTGTCACGCAGAGTGATCCAGTCGACCCGAAGCTGATCAATCTCGGCCAGTCGTTTCTCAAGCTCGTCGACCTGGGATGCCTTTATGGACACCTTGGTCTCAAGCTCGGCAGTCTTTGCTAGTGCGGCGGCAAGTGCGATCTTGTGCTCGCTGGGTACTTCTGACGCAAGTTCGGTGACCCTTTGAGACTCTTCTTCAAGCTGCGCGCACCTTGCCAGGGATTCCTGGAGATTCTTTTTGAGAGTTTCGGCATCCTTGGCCTGCTCTTCGGCTACACCGAGGCGCTCTTCGAGTGTGGTTATGTATTGGTCAGTGTTGATGTCGCTCTCTTTGAGCTGCGAAATCTTTTGTTTCAAATCAGCCAAGATCAGCTGGGTGGTCTCTGCTTCGGCAACCGTCTTTGAGAGCTTTTCTTCTAAATCGATTACGTGCGCCTCGCTACTGTGTTCGCGGTCCGTAGATCTGGACAACTTTATGCGCAGCTGGTTCAGAAGAGTCTGTTCTTGAGCGTGCAGTGATTCGTACTCTACAATCTTTGCTTCCTGGTCTCCCAAGGTCTTGTCCGAGTGTGCCAACGCTGTGCGGGCCATGGCGAGATGGGATTCGAGACCTGCGATGCTCTTTTCGTACTCTTCAATCACAGGCTCTACCAGGTGCTGGAAGTTTGGATCGTCCGTACTTGTCGCGGTCGTCGAACTACTATCTGAGGTGGGGCGAGATCTGATAAGACTAGGTTCCTGGCGACTCTGACGGAGTCTTCTCTCGACAAGTCTGTTGCGCTCGCGTGTGACAGTAACCTGGTTCTGGAGCTCTTCAATCTGACGGCGCAGATCGGCCACCAAAGCCTGCTGGTCAAAGTCAGTCACGTCAGGTACGGTAATTGTTGTGGTTGCAGAGGAAGAAGGGCAAGAGATGATGGGTTCGTTGTCCGATATGGAGCATGGGGGAGAAGGTTTAGAGATGGATGAGATTGACGAGGCTGGTGAAGGCTGTCTAAGAGATCTGATCTCAGATTTGAGTTTGGCGATAATTGACCGAAGTACTTCTGGATTGTCGTTCACTGTCCATTCCTCGGTCTCGTTTCGCTCTGATTTGTTTTTGATGCTTCGGGTTCTGTGAGCATACTTGATGGTGTTGACTGTCTCGGTTAAGTTGCTGTCAGTCGGACTCACGCATGCGATCATAAGCGTGGTCGCGTTTCCACCGAGCGAGTCTTGCAAGAGACGCGTGAGCTTTGAGTCTCGGTAAGGAACATGAAGCGACTTCTTTGGGGTCTCCGAAAGGGCCGAAATTACGTTTCCCAACGCAAGCAAGCCTGCATTGATGTGGATTCCTTCTTTGCGGCGATCTCCCTGAGCGGCCGTCCGCTTCAGTCGTTCGGAACCTGCCAGATCCACAAAGTGGAACTTTGAGTTTGTGATGACCCACTCTCCTTCCTCTTCGAGGTGTTTTGCCTGGCGTTCCATGTGTCCAACCATCGCTTTTACGTTGAGGGTACTGCATCGTCTAGAAGGTGTGGAAATGATTGATGATCTCGAAGTGGCGATAGGGATAGGATCGGGTTTGCGAGATGGTGTGGGAGTAGATACTGGCGAGACGATCTTGGTTTCTACCTTGGGGACCCATTTTTCTTGTTTTAGTAGTACAGTAAATATGGCATGCGATCGCGAGGATTTGGCATTCATATCTGTGGCACTTGTGGCACGGTTTTGGGTACCCATTTGAAGGTATCTAATGGACAGAAAAAGAAAATTCTTATCAGTTTATAATTGTTCGCTTATATATAAAAGAAGATGACTTGATAATTTACTACGATACAAAGTAGTAATAATAATAATAGGTTCACTCATTGTTATAATTATTTATAGCAAATTTTTCTTACTTTAATACATCTTCAGTTGAAGTTACAGCCATTTCTTTGATACCAGTACAGACGATATGACCTTTTGTGTCTTCGCGGATAGTTACAGAGGGTCTTTCCGAAGCTGGTGCTTGATTAAGCAAATCGATCAATTCCTCGTTGTAAATCTCCACAAAGGACACGTGTACTGTTTGGCGTGGTGCTTTGCTGTTTTCACTTAATGTAGAGCTGGAGGCACGTCTAGAGGGTGGGATGATCATCGATACTGCTCGCAGTTTTGCTGTCGATGGAGAGCGTCTAGGGATTTGTATTCCGGATGGAAGGGCAACAGGGCGTAAGGAAGGTGGTGGTGATGATAGGACTGGTATTGCCTGAGCCTCAAGGCGTTGAAAAAGGGCATTGATTGCACGGGGAATAATACCTTTAGATTTGAAAGCATTATTTAAATAAATAAATTACATCAAGGTAGCTCAGTCAATTGATTGTCTCTTATTTCTATTATTATTTTTTACCTTCTTGTTCCCGGTCTTGAAGTTCATTGGCTGGGGCAGTGCCCATTGTGTAGGTTTTTCCGGAGGATGTTTGACCCTGTACGTGACATATTGGTAAGAGAGAGAGAGAGAAAAGGGAAATAATGATAATTAGATGTAGGTTGCACTTACATAGGCAAGAATAGTAACATTGTAACCTAAAAGAGAGCGAAAGAGATTGTATCAAAACGGGGCATGCGTTTTCTTCTTCTTCTTCTTCTTATGAAAATGACTATATGTGGGTGATTTAGTTTACCTTGTATAAACCGATCTACTAGATCAGATGCTACGTTTTTAAATACTTGATCTTGAGTACTGTCTGGCTTAAATACGTAGTCGAATTTGTATGATTTTTGATGAGGTACGACGGTTATGACATTGTCGAATGCTTTCAAGACATCAGAATCGGTCGAGTGCTGAAAGCGGGGTTGTTGGCGGTCTTGTTTAGATAATGGTCGTACTCGAATTGCTGATAGAGGGGACACAATGATGATGAGATGGATTATCAACAAATAAAACGAATAAGAAGAAGTATGGGCACACACCAAACAGAAAAGATTAAGGAAATGCAGAAGCTTACCAACTTGTACGGGAGTCGTGTTGTCTTTGTGTATAAAGGGAGTTTGGGAGACTGCAAAGTCTGTGGCTATAATAGAAGGAGGGGGAGAGGATGAAATCATTGTGATATAGACATGTATGGGTATCGAAAGGAATGAAAGGGCATGAAATCAATCCGACAAACAGATAGACGAGATTTCTTTGCAAGAGTCGAGTGGGGAGGGAGGGAGAGAGATTTGGCTGAAGGGAAGAAAAGGAAAAGGAAAGACAAGATGTGGAATCGGCTTCTTGTTGAATAGGGTCGGAGCGTGCAAGTTCAAGGTGGAGATTCAAAGGACAATGAGGGTCCCAGACACAAGGCTGTTATGTATTAATATGAGGTATCAGGAAGGCCAATGATAGGGTATATGGTTCTCGGTTGAATTATAGGTGTCGCAAGAGTTCAATTTCCAACACCAAAAAAAAGAAGAATAATATGTCTTGTTCTTTCTGTTTTTTTTTCTTATTATTATTATTGTTATTATTATTTTGCGTAAAAGCTGTCACGCAAAAGACGAATATTTTATATAAATATAAATATAGGGAAGGTTGGATCTTGGTCGACAGGAGGCTGGTTTGTAATGAATGTATAGGGGAAGCGACTAGGAATAGAATCGCACCAAAGACTTGGTAATGATAGTAATAATGATAATAATAATGAAAGGAAAGAGAGAAAGAGAGAGAGAGAGAGAATTATAAGCTAAGAGACATTTGGTTTTTTTAGCTTACACATGAGGATAGTCCTAATTAAGTGAGCATTTTCGTGTGTGTATATATATATTTATACGTGTGGATTTGTGGGACAGGCTCTGTACATTCTTTTTCTGATTCTAGTCAGGATTCCTTTTTGCTTGATTACTGAATTTGAAGGTTTGCTCCCGGCCCAGCTTTCTGTTGCACCATACAAGTGACGAATGGATGCACAGACAACTGGCCTTACAAACGCCGCATCTTGGTGTTTGGTTCAATACTATCTCTAAAATTAAACTGAATCGTATATGGATTCTAGCTTTTATTTATAAATATTATAGCTCTTTTCACTTTTTAAATTTTGCTTATAAAAGAAGCAGTAGGTTTAATAAATATTTAAAGACATACATTTCCAATATACCTGTGAGATGTAATCATGTCTTGTGTAGCCTTAATGAACCGAAATTTTCCATGCTTAAATTGCAGAATTATTTCTTTGCCTCTTGGAGTATATTTACAGGAAAGACATTGGATAGACGCTTTATTGTGCTCATAATATCTCGTACTACATGAACAGCCTGTGCGTCAATTAAAATACAATACAATACAATAGCAACAGATTATGGGGTTTTCTTTCTGATTATTACAAGCATATCTATTCTGATTTAATGAATAAAGAAGGTTTTGCAGTAGACTAGAATATTAATAAAAGCCACAAACACTATAATAGTATATACTAGTTATCTTGCTATCACTCACAAAGAAATAAAATCATACACTTTTTTGTTTTTTTTTAATAATCGAAAAAAATTAATGTGTTTCAAAATCATAATAATTAAAATAATTAAATATCTGCCTGTTATCTTCCACGTGCCAAAAAGCAAGGGTTGATCAATTTCTCAATGAACAATTTATATATATATATATTTATTTATTTTTGGGTATAAGGAGATACGTTACATTATACAGGGTATCGCTCAATAGAGACAAGCCACAAGAGTGTTCGAATTGGAAGAAGATCAAAAAGTGATATGAATTATTTACAGGAACTAGTTTTAATGTATAAGGATCACTCTTTTTCGCCTTCTTCTTCCTCTTCTTTTATATATATTAATCTTTCCAAAACTGCCAGGCTTTACGCTTCTTTATCTTATCTGTCGTTTCGGTACTCTAGATTAAACAATTAGATAATCTGACGCCAAAAAACAAACAAACAAACAAAAATACCAACCTTTTCTTTCTTGAATAAGCTCAAAAACTTGGATTTCTTTTTGGATTTTGGATCTTCTTCGATTTTTGATTTAGAGTCCTTTTCCTTTTTTGATTTCAGCTGCCTTTTCTCTACCACATTGAACCTCTTGCGCTCTTTTTTTGTACTCGCCACCTTATACTCTCTCTTTAGACTAGGTGCCTTGGAGACCTTTCTGGTGTGAGAGATCTTGATTTCCCTTGTGCTTCGCTTCTTCTTCAACGATGTCTTATGCTTTATGCTTGGCTCCCTCTGGACTTCATGAATCGACACCTTTTCGTTAACTTGTGTGATGTCTTCTTCGACTGGCACAATTGTCTCTTCGCTTTTGTGAGACAGTTTTGGAGATGCTTCTTGTGCTACTACGAGGACTTCTTGCTTATCAGGGGCTGTATCACTCTCGGGGAAATGGTCCGAAATTGTCAGTGAGTTCAACTGTGCGTCAGTCACAGTATCGTCTGCATCTCTGGATAGTTCGTACACACTGATTTCATCTAGTTTTTGTATCCTGCGTGCATAGAGATGCTCGTACAAAGCGTGTTCCTTGTTATCCGAAGTCTCGGCTGACAAGGTAGTCACACTTGCAGCAATTGCATTACTGTAGTCAAGGGTGAGGATGGACGATGTTGTAGAGTTGGTGGTAATGACAGAGGCTCGTCTGTCTGGCTCATATTCAGAAATATGGGATGGGAATCCTTGGAGGTCATTCATTGAAGCAATTGCTTCGAGAGGAAGAATTGTGAGCGTCAATGGGCCTGCAATTCCTTGTCCACGGCTGTCGACTGGAACTAAAGAAAGTTGAGAGTGCCAGGTATCTGCAGGGTACTTGGTTACTTTTGTTTTCTGTTGTACATTTGATTGCACTGCTTTCTTTGCGGCTTTTTTGAGTCTTTTGTTCTCTTGAAGTTTCTGTGCGCGTCTTTGTGCACGACTGCCATTGACATTGCTTGATCCAGAAGTATTCATTGTTTACTTGGTGTTCTCTAGTCTACTTTGGCAAGAGTAAAAGAAAGAATAAATTTGAAGTAAAAATAAAATGAAATGAAATGAAAGAGAAAGAGGGGAATCAAGGGAATGGGTGGTTTTCTCGATCAAAGTAAAACTATTTTATAAGAGTAAGCATATATTTTTGCCGTTCTTTAAAGTCACATAGCCAAGACCCGACTCTTAGCGTTGGCACCTTCTTCAACAGGAAAAAGCACCCGCATGGTGTGTACAAAACATAGTGATTTTTTTTGGGGGGAATTGAGAAGCAAGATGAGCCAAAGAAAAATAAGAACATATTGCTACTACTATTATTAAATATTTGGATCAAATATTTGGATATAAAAAAAAATTATTGGGCTGTTTTGCTTCATTGTTATGGGTCACAACAGGCCATTATTTTACCTTTATATATCTTGTTTTTCTTTTGTCAGTTGATTCTCACAAAATACTGTTTCTTGTATTTCTCACCTAAATTGCTTCAAACACGACCCCGCAACAGAAATACACTTCCTCTCGGAGTGTAGGTGTAGCAATCCGGAGCCTTGATCGGTGCCTCTATTTCATCGGCAAGTGATTCCCGGTCAAAAGAGCAAAAAAAAAAAAGAAAGAGCCGGGTAAACATTCATATAAAGAAGTGATCGACCAAATCTTTTAAAATGAAGTTTGACATGAACACCATAACTAAAATACGTGGTACTTGATTTAATTACAAGTAGGGCGTCTGTGAGCTGTAGACAGCCCAGGTTTAAAGCACTTGGAAACAAGAAGCTAAAAAGGAAGAGAAAAATGTGAAAAGAAAAAAGAGAAAAAAAAAGTATTTCTGGTACCATAGTAACACAAGCAAGCTACTCTTAATAAGAAATGAAAGACACACACACATATATATATATTATATTTCTTTTACTTTCTTTAAAGCACATAGTTAAAAAAAATTTTGGTTAAAAAATGTTTAGAAAATAAAGAGCTTCCGGACCGAAGTGCTTCGTGTTCACTAGTAAGATCCTTAAAGCATTTTTTTTATTTTCTAAGGTATATTCGTATTCAATGTAACGTTTCATAAGCCCAAACCCTTGGCCACGTGGTAAGCTACCTTTGGGTCTACGCTTAGATGCCGCACAGTAAACAATCTATAGCCTAATGTAGAGTTACCTTACAAGTAAGAAAAGCGACATAACCTACACTACTCGTAAAAAAAAAGCTATAAAAAATTGACTTGACTTACAAAGCATATCAATTTTTTTTTGTTGTAGTTGTGTGCAGAAAAATGATTGGAAAATTTATAATCTACAGAGGCACAAGATAGTTTACAAATTTCAAGCAAAAAATAATATTAGTATGAACTTTTGGGTAGTACACAAGAACCAACAGTTCCATTTTAAAAACCAAAGCGAGCAAAAGATTAAGAGAGCCAAGCACCCAGGTCATATAAATTTTTATTTTATGAAGTAGCCTTCCCAAAGGAATCAGTGATGTTGAAATACATAATTATATATCTTGAGCTTGCTTTAAGCAGATTGATTTCCAAGCTGTTTGATATAAAGTAAAAGTAGTTTTTATTTTATTTTACTTTTCAACATCTCAGTGAGTTACTGAAATAATGAATACAGACACAGTCGAATTATTATACTAATTATTCGCAAGAACCAAAATATTCAAGCTTGAAATGTTATATTAGATAGGATCATACAATGGCAATCAAGTCAGATCCTTAGATTTCTTTCTTCTCTTTTCTATCTCTAGAAAAAGAACAAGAAATAAGGAAGAAGGTTAAAGTAAGATGCGGATACTATAGCGTATCTATCGACCCTCAAATACGCTTCTGTTTGATGGCTTCTTTGAATTATCTTCGAAACGTGTAAATGGAGACACAAAGTCATTTCCATTGGAATTTGAACCCTGCGTCCGCAAAGCCGTAGCCATCAAGAAAGGGTTGGGCGAAGGAGATCGTGATCGGGGATCTTGCTGTGATGAGGATGCTCCGGTTGGATGCATTCGGCCAAACACACGTCCTTTTCCGGACGAAGGAATATTGGGGTGGAGGGTATTTTCATCCAAAGGTTGAGCATCTGTCTCGTGCGGCAGAGTAGAGAATGCCTCTGGAGCAGGCTTGTTAAAGAAACCACCAATTTTATCTTTAACAGCATCTCCAATGGATGCCCAGCCGCTTGCATTAGATGATGTACTGATCTGCCGATTGTTTTGACCAGGCCGTCCAGCCTGTTTGTGTCCATCTCTTCCTGAAAGAAGTTCGTCAAGGTGTCTATCTCGCTCAGAGCGTAAACTAGATGCATGTGGACTAAGATGTCTATTGGAAACTGGTGGGACTGAAGGGCTGGGTGAATTTGGGCGACTGTACTTTGACGCATAAGACTAAATCAATGATATTAATAAGAGATCCAAAGATAGAGAGAAATAATAAACAGGCTATTATTTCTGGAGGTCTAAAACACTTACACCAAACGCATTTCTCGCACGTCCAAGAATACCTCTTTGTGCCCCAAGCTCAGGGTGAATGATACGTTCTACTGCCGCACGCTCTATTATGCACATGTGAATATTCGTATCTCATTAAACGCTTATGCATACCTTCAGCAATAAGTGCTTTTCCATCAGCCATATCAGTATTAAGTAGCCCATTTCCAGTCTCATTGTCATCTTCGTCTCCATTTCCAGCATTCTGGATACCGCAGAGACTAAAACATCTTCCTTGAACATTAAGAAGTACAGCCAAAGATGGTAACAAGATCAAGACAGGAAACCAATCCACAAAATTATCTCCCAAGAAAGGAAGTAGATTTGCAATTCCCATAAACTATAAGGATCAATTCGCTTGTTTATTTTTGGCTATTCTTTTGAAGTTTTATGTAGTTTCAGGGTCCTTACCTGACTAAACACTGTCTTCGCAGCTGTCGATGTATTGTTTGGGAGTTCCCCATTGTCTTCTTCTTTCTTTTGGAGAAGGTTTACAAAATTATAGCAAAGTGGGGCTCTAAGTTTATAAGAGAGAAGAGTATTAGCTGTTAAAAGGTGAGGATCGTGATGTCTTATCCTTACGTCATTTTGCACATATAGCTAGTGAACCACAGCATACTGTTGGGATCAGTATGATGATTTGGAATCAACAAATACAAGTTAAATAGCCTGAATTTGAATAAAGATGAATATACACATAGACACATGTAGGTCAATGTGAGCAATGCTATAAACTATAGCAAAAACGATGAATGGCAGTCCCTGTGATTGATTATGTTTACCTCCACAGCAGCATAGTTAAAACCACACGCCTCTAATAAGATGCCAACAATGGAGATAACAGGGGTCTTGACATTAAATGTGAGCTCTGACCAGATAATAGAAACACTGACAAAGGTACAGATTACTGCAAGAATACGATATACAAATGGTCTAACCCAAACAACCCAAAGCCATTCTTAAAAGTAAAAGAAAAAGCAGCAATCAATAACCACTTTTATTACTTGTATGCTATATATGCCTTACTTACCTGTTCTTTCCTTCAAGTCTGTCTTAAATGACGGGGACTCAAGACTACGGAGGGTCGAATGGAATCGACTGGAATACAATTTATCTTAATGTACAGTTGATTTATATAAGACAAAGGAAAATACTTACTGATCACCATTTTCTCGGTTGACAAGAATGTCTTGAAAGTAAAAGGCCTCTTCCAACATGTTCTTCCATAATCTGATAGTAGACACACACACATTTAGTTCGAAAGAATATCATAATGCATTATATATATATCATCATCATCATCATCACTTACGCAAGTTTTCTATCCTTCATTCTCATGGCCATAATCATATCTTGATTAAGCTTCACAAGATATTCTTCTGTCAGAATCTGCGGAATATGTGTGCTTCCATCTCGATCGTTATGTTCTGGATCGAGCACAAACGGAAACCATGCTACCATCTTTTTTACTAGTGCTTGCATCTCAGGACTCCGGGCATGGGTCGAATGCGCAATAGTGTTCATGATCTTGGTAGTCCACAAGTGTCAGGAGAATATTTCCGCTCTCACCTGCCCCAAAACAAACATAATCCCCCTTGAAAGGCTTACCTTGGCTAGCTCGTTAAATTCCAACTCACTGTCGATGCACTCTTCCTTGGCACGAGGGGCTTTTAGGTATATCTGATACAAATGTCGCTTTACACTTCCAGAGAACCAAAGTGCACGAGGAACAGATACTAGGCCATATCCCATAAATATAATGACAAGAAACAAACCCCAGCTATTGGCCATAGCCATTACCAAGACTTGTATTCTTTGTCTAGTCCAAAAAGAAAAGGTAGATAAAGAGTTGTAGTCAACAAAATACTTATTTATAGTTGTGGGATATTCAACATGTATCTTTATTAACATTAACACAATCGCTTATATTCATATTATTCTTACCTTGAATTATAACCACTTCCGAACACAAGATATATCAAACCAAAAATGCCAACAAAAACGTATATTAAATAGAACCGAACGTTGACCTTGATAGCCGACTTGATACGCTTTGCAAAAGTGAAGTCTCCTGTGTTGCCATACGCTTGTAGCATTGGAATCATGAACCTGGTGCGACTATCGTTAGTTTATATTTCTCGGCTATTTTGGTTTTTTTTATCACTGTGTATTTTACCATGTTAGGCAGAAAGAAGTCCAATAAAATGCTCGCCATGCCACCCATAGAAATTGGTGGGAGATATAAGTAAAAGGTACTTTGCACTCTCCTTTACAAGAATCATATTTTGTCTGTGTTTTTATTTTTAAAAAAAAGATTAACAAGTGTATAAGCTATGAATTACTCCAGAAATATCTGGATGTAAAGAGATCTGCTTACAGAAGCCAGGTCCAATGGAAGTAGAATTACGATCCAAAAGGGAAAGAACCAACCAATGGTGCAAACTACCGAGACATACCAAGCCTGTTTCTTGATGTTGCTGTAATGGGAGACGGTGGTAAATGCGATGAACAATAACACACTGGTGGTAATGGCCAGTGGAGCCCAGTTATTTTGCGGTATGGGGATTTCACTTTCCATTCCAGGCTAAGAAATAAAGAGTGAAAGAAAGAGAGAAAGAAAGAAGGCTGTGTCGGAATGAATATTGGATTCCCTTTTTAAGAATACTTCGTCACAGAATCAAAAATAAAATAAAATAATATAAAAAAAATAAAAAAGACTGATGGATGAGCTCAAAGCTTATTCAGTTTTCCCTTTTTTTTGAAGCTCGCGTTCTTTCTTAATTTTCTTTTCTTTTCTTTTCTTTTCTTTCATTCTTTCTATTCTTATTGCCACCCTTCCCACAGCTAACAATGAGTAATACAATCCAGCCAGATCTTCCAGCTACCATGTATGCCCTTCAAGCCCATGAATTTGGCCCTCCCTCAACATCATTTCAATATCTTGAAATAATGGTTCCAGAGATCAGCCGTCCAACCCAGGTTCTGGTTCAAGTTTATGCTGCTGGAATCAACCCAGCCGAAGCCAAAGTCCGGTCTGGAAATATTTCGCGGTTCTTCAAGATGCCTACTATCTTGGGTGCAGACTTTTCAGGTGTTATCGTTGGAAAAGGTAGCAAAGTATCTTCGTTCGAAATTGGCGATAAGGTGTTTGGAAAACTCAGATTTCCTCTTGGCCCTCAAGGAACCTATGCCGAGTATACAGTTGTCGATGTAGAGAAGGATGCCATTTCCAAAAAACCTAATAATCTTCCTTTTATCGAGGCTGGTGCTGTGGGTATTGCGGCATTAACGGCGTATGAAGCTATTGTCAACAAGGGCAGATTGAGTCAATTACCCAAAGATGTGACACCAAACATTGTAGTCATTGGTGCATCCGGGGGCGTGGGTACTTATGCTGTCCAGATTGCTAAAGCATGTGGTGCCAATGTTATCGGTGTCTGTAGCAAAAATAACACATCATTAGTTAAATCACTGGGAGCAGACGAGACAGTGGACTATACCTCCGATGAAGAATTCAACGCGCTTTTGAGCAGAAAAGACACATTTGATCTTGTTGTAGACTGCGTTGGAGGTGATGACTATTACAACCAATTTATCACAACAATCAAAAATAGCGGTGTCTATATATCTACAGTAGGGCCAATCCAGCACGCAGGATCCGTTGGTCTAGGTATCCAGGACATCTTCGCTTTTGGAAGTGCCTTTTTGTTCCGGTCAATGTTTAGCTCTCGAAAGTATTTAATGGTTGCTACTCTACCCGTGAAAGACTTTTCCGAAGGACTTTTGCCATTGTTTGAATCAGAGTCTATCAAGAGCGTTGTACTTCCTGAAAACGTTTATGAACTCAAAGACGGTATCAAAGCACATGAAGCTATTGAATCACATCGCACGGTTGGAAAAATCGTCCTGAAAATGAACACATGGTAAACTAACCAGTACACAATATCCAAAAGAATTCCAGAAAATACGCAAAAGCAAATTTATGATTATTTCCATATACTACACAGATTCCAACAACAGCAAAAAAATGAAATATATATATAGCGATCAGCATACTTTACATTATGTGCGCTTATAATACGATCTTGATTTTACTTGCAATAATAATTCACTGAGCCAATTTACACTTTTTTTCACTGAAAACTAAGCTCATCAAATCTTATCATATATACATATACAAGTATTGATAATATTTGGTAATTGATCACCCGAGAGATATTATGCTAGAAATGCGTACAGCGTAAGAGATAATAGACATTAACAGCACCCATTTTTTTTGCTTTACACAGCTCTATTCCGTAAAGCAAAAATATAAACTTCCAAAATTAAATTGGTGTACACCCTGAGGAAAAGTTGGTATCAAAAACAAACTTTTTGGTGGAAATAGCCAAATTTTCATAAGTAAATGGTTTCTTGGTGAGAAAGAAAAATAGTCTTTTTGACCAATATTCGAGCAATTAATGCCAGACAACATTTAAAGGAGGAATAGTACTGTGGTCTACCATGTTACCTATACATAAAATCATACTTTGTTTAACCAATTTGGATGCGAGGTCTTTAGGACTATTATCAAATTCGTATCTCGAAATGAGAAAAGTAGATTCTGCGAGTGTTATTTATAAAAGAGAATACATTATTAATAATATATATATATTTATACTATTATTCAAATCGATTTTGTGCAATTGGTAGATACCAAAGACTTGGAACCTATAAATCAAGATCTCCATAGAGAATAATTAAGGTGACGTGAATCAATTGATACAGGAGACAAATGTACTTGGGATTCTTGATAGGGGGATAAAATCATGGATCATGGATCAGGGATCACTGATTATTATTTTTGGCTGTGGTTTTGTGGATCAGGATTTTTGGCTGTATTTTCCGATAGATGCCAAACATCAGATACGATGGCCCCTTGCCTTTGTCCTAAAAATGGCAATAAAGTGAAGAAGAAACATGTAAATCTCCACTGATACCCAAAGAGCACGGGCCTTTTGAAATAGTATATAAAGGTTTGACATTTTTGCACTTCTTTCCTTTTTATTACATATTCTCTCAACCTCATCTTACCTACCAAGCCTTTCTTTACCTTTACACCTCACAACCAACACTCTACAATGCAGATCCTCTCTATCCAAAACCGTATCATCTCAAAGTGCCAGCGTCGCCAATCCTCAACTACCAACACAGCTAGCCGTGTCTCCACATTCACATCATCAATGGGCCAATGCATGAAAGGCCTCGCTTCAGTCAAGAAAGCCTTTAGCTGCAACAAAGTCCAAAACACAGTCGCACCTTCTTTGATTTCATCTTCATCGACGATCTCTAATAACTCCTATCTTTCTGACCTTTCTGATGACGAGCACTTCTCAAAATCTTGCCCAGTATCTGAAAAATCTATGGCCCTGGATTCACTTATCTTTGATCATCCTTCAGTCACAGTCCGCATTAGTCCAGCTGCCTATCGCTCATCTTGAATCGATTTTGATTTCAACACCCTGTATATACACACTGTAAAACACAAAAAAAATTGTATAATAGTCAAGTTCATCAAACAAAAGCATTCAATTTTCTTTGTACATACATCTTTATAGAAGAAAAAGACTATCACAACATATCAAACTCTCTAGAGAAAAACTCTTAAAATAAAATATAATAAAAAGAGAGCCACAGCCACTTGCAGTGGTTCTTTTTTGTTTCAAATACCAATAAATACATTTATCTTATTGAATACCTCTTAAAACATGTATATTTTTCTTAATTGTTTGAATCAGTCTGTGTACTTGAACATCAAATTTATGCGAGCTTCACCAGTCTACAGTTACCTCTTACATTTAGAAGATAAAAGCTATGTGTAGTTAACCCCCTCTCCTTTGACTCTTTGGCTTTTATAGCAGTCCTCTAGACGTGAGAATATGATTTGAGCATATTATATAGTGTAGTTTCATAAAAAGCTTTTAGACACACTCTCCATCATTTATTCATGTCTATTTTTCTTCATTAATCAAAATAACATTCTTTGTTTATTAAGCCAAGTAAAGGAACGAGTTCTTAGAATGCAAAATACTGGATTGCTTTATAGCAAAAATTTGGTCAATTATATATATCATAATTTCCTAAAAAGAATAGAACGCACTAGAGACCCAGTCATTCGCAAGACCTTCGATTAATGGTCTAGTGCACGATAAATTTAGTCAATCTGGTAATATGCCAATTTTCTAGCTAATATCTTTGTGTGCCGTTCTGGTACCTTTATCTACTTTATTTGTGTATAAACATATACTGTATATAAAGTATTGTGTGATTTGTCAAATGTCAATTAAGTGTCACCAGAAGATGTATGGGAATTAATAGAGAGAAAACGTAAATTGACTTTTATAGAAATATTCGTCAGAAATACACTTCAAGACGAAATACAATCCTCATAGACATATAACTTTTTTTATTTAATATCTTCTGTCTTTATATATCTTTACTACTATAAAAGCAACAACAACAGTCAGAAAAAGAATATATATCTTCCAAGCAAATTTCTTTTCTGCATTAAACATGTCTGCCTACAAAACACCCAGCTTCCCTGCTTTAATGCATGCGTTAAGAGCATCAAGTTACGGTCCTGCATCTACCTCACTTGAATATGTCAAGGTCAAGCTCCCAGAAATTACAAGTCAAACCCAAGTACTCGTTCAAATCTATGCCACTGGTATCAACCCTATCGAGGCCAAACTCAGGTCTGGAAACATTACTCATCTCATCAAGATGCCCACTATCTTTGGCACAGACTTTTCGGGAGTCATTGTCAAAAAAGGCAGTAAGGTCTCTTCTTTTGAGGTTGGAGATGAAGTCTATGGTAAAACAAAACCTGGTGTTAGTTAAGACGGAACTTATGCCGAATATGCAGTTGTTGATGTTTTCAAGAATGCAATTGCCAAGAAGCCCACTCATACATCATTTATCGATGCTGCAGCTTTGGGTGTCGCGTCTGTTACAGCATTTGAAGCCGTTGTAAGCAAAAGTAGATTGAATCAATTATCCAAAGATACAACGCCAAGTATTATAATTATTGGAGCATCAGGAGGAGTAGGAACTTATGCTGTACAAATTGCCAAAGCATTTGGAGTTCATGTTGTTGCAGTGTGTAGTGGAAAGAATGCATCATTGGTCAAATCATTAGGCGCAGATGAAACCGTCGACTATTTGTCACAAGAAGCAATTGAGTCGTTGGCCTATAGAAAAAACACCTTTGATTTTATTGTGGATTGTGTTGGAGGGGATAATTATTACAACAAGATGGCCCCAACCATCAAAAATGGGGGTGTCTACGTTTCAGCCGCTGGCCCTGTTAAAGATATTGGAGCTTCAAACGTAAGTACTCTGGATTATCTTTTCATTGTCAAGACCTTTATATTCCGTTCAATGTTCAGCCATTACAAATACGTTATGATTACGGGCTTGCCAAAAAAGTATCTCACTGAAGGAATTTTACCACTACTTGAGAAGAAAGCTATCAAAAGTATCGCGCTCCCTGAAAACGTCTTTGGCCTCGAAGATGGTGCCAAGGCTCACGAAGCTATCGAATCACATCGCACCATTGGAAAGATTGTCTTGAAAGTAAAAACAGAATAATTTTTTTGGCCGAATTTCTCTTTTCTATTGTATTATATATATTATCTGTACTTCTTCTATTTACTTTACCATATCAGCTTTTAATAATGCTCTCTATAATAATAATAAAATCTATAACAACTTCTTTATTATCGAAATCGCAGATACTGTATTTTGTTTCGCAATTCGATCATTTGCGACTGAATTATAACGTATAGTACTAAGAAAGAATCTATAAAAGCCTACAAAATTTGCCAGAGAGATATAAAAAAAAGAGAGAAACACAAAAGTAAAAATACAGGTGGTAAAAGTAGTAGGAACCAAAAAAAAACTGTCTTTAATATCTGGAGATAATTTGAATTTAATTTTTCTGCATTTGAAAATACAAGATCTATATTTAGGAGTTTATATTGTATAAATAACCCGTTTATCTTTGCGTATGTCTTACACACATGAGTCTGAATATCTACAGTTTACAGTGGTCCCTCGCTAATTTCAAGCCCAAAGGGGGGACTAAGTGACTAGAAATTATCGAAGAATGAAATTAACGAGTGCGGATTATACTTTTTCCGATGAAGGTAGAGGAAGTGTCAAAGCATGCTTTGTTAGAAGTACCTTTACATACAATTAAAAAAATCTGGCAGCTAAGTATTATCATGCCTTGATTGCCTGAAATTATTCTTTATTAAGGATCCAAGACTAAAAATTATCATGAAACTTTGGCTCTGTGTTATGGAAAAAAAAGTTTTATTAAAAGAATCAAAAAAATAACCACCTAAAGGACAGTTAGAAAAAGTAATAAATGTGGACAATTACGTACCAAAATACAGATTGGTGGTTATGAAAATAAGATATGAGAAGATTTAGAATATATATAATTTGATACGAAATGTAAAAGGTACTTTGAGTGACAGTGCACAGATTCCTGATAATTATACATATTAGAGAAGTTCGTGGAATAACTTTTTCAAAGTTGTATAGAACACAAAGCCAAATAGGGTAACTCTTTCGAGGATTTAAACTTTTCCAAAAAATTTATAAATGGGTTGCTTATTACTTAATTTATTCATTGGATTTTATATTTACTAAACTTCCAAATACAACATTCAATAAATTCAACCAAAAAAAATTGTTTCTTTTGATGATAAAATAGCTTTATATTAAATTTCTCATTAAGGCTTCTATAGCTAGCTTTGCTTAGATAAATTTTATTAAATAGATATGTTGATAAACGTGAACAAAAATGTATAAAATGATCTTGTCTATATCGTTGCTGATTTATATTCAAAACTTTACATTGTTCCTTATATTTCTACTATTTTCATAACATTAGTTTAGAATAAAAAAATAGAAAGATATTAGAGGTTGAAAAAGTTCTCACTTTTTCAGAAAATCTGAAAATTTCAAAAACTTTTTCAAAATTATTTTTGTTTTGTTACATTATTTTCTTATTTAAATCACTGAGTTTGATTTAAAAAAGAAATTTTCTTTGAAAAAGTGACTCCACAAACTTCTCTATTATCATGTCTCATTTACAAAATATTGCTGTGTTTGTGCCACAGGGTTTCATTTTATTTTTATTGTTTACATTAAACTTCTAAAATTCTATGACTACTACAATTGCTGCGGCAATTGCATTAAATTCATGAACAAAACTCCAAAATACACCCTTTGTAAAGGAAGAGAACCCAATTCCAAGAGGCAAATTCAATGATATAGCCCAAGGGTTGGTGTCAAAATAGGTGCAGCTGGTCAAATGCACAGCCTACTGACTCAAGCATCTCAATGCCTTTGCAAAAGATGAAAATAGTAATGACAACAAGTGAACAGGAAAACAGAAAGACAAAAATGTTCTAGGCTAGCTTTATTTCGACAGCCACGCTTGGTCTGTTGGGTGCTGGGAAATGATCATTTCTTTTGCTTTCCATTGTTTAATTTACTCAAATACCAAAGGGGATAGTATAGTTTCAAATCAATTCTATTTCTTAAAGAGCAACAAAACATATACTATGATCATTTATATATGAGACATTAGTCAGTAACAGCAGATCCACAAAATAGAGTTCATCACAACCCTCCTTCTTAACACCATTATTAATAGATAAAGACTCAGGAACAGAAACAAAATGCCAAATAAAGCAAAGTTAGGCACAAGGCGTCTTTACCAACATCAACCAAAAAGCGAACACGCATTAAAGCTGCTGATGTCTACTGGTGCATTGACAATGTAGTCAATCTGTCTGTCCAAACATTTGCGATCACGTTCAAGCATTGGGACTACCAGCATTGCCATTCGCATTACAATACAATCTTGGACTCTAATATACCAGAAGAGCACAGAAGTCGACTTCAAGACGAATTTGAAACATGGCGAAAAACCATAGACTGTACTGAGTTATGGTTTAACCAAAGACATGCCCAAGCTTTGGCAGAAGCACATGACAACTGCTCAGAGGCTGCGAATAATCTTTTGATTTCCAACACTCAAGAAATCAAGTCATCTGTGGTAAAATATCATGTGCCTGAACCAGCGCCTGTAACCATAACTTTGCAAGCACCTACTACACAAGTTGGCCACACAGACACGTCTGTCCCACCAGTCCTACCAACCATAGGCACACCTGTATTACAATCACTATCACCATCAATGACAGACACACTTGTCTTAACACCTAGCCAAGACAAGCTCGGTTCATCAGCACCAGCGTCAGCAACTACTTCGACAGCAGACATAATGTATCACTGAATCATTGGCTCCATCACTGAAAAATTCCAGCAGTATCAGTGCATGGCAGGCAGTATTCCGAAACTTTGTCTATTAGAACCCAGTGTCCAAGAAATCCTAGTTTTGGGCAACGTTCTTTTTTTTGGCTCCAGAGCAATGCAGCAATACAAAAATGACAGTTTTTGGCCAGGAGCTTCTTGACGAAGCAATGTCACATCAGACAAGAATGCTACTTGACAAAGTGCCTGCCCCTTGCTCTGTATTTGCCTCAATAGACTTCATGACCATTGTGAACGTTGTTTCTGCAATTTACGCAAAAACTATGAGCCCAAAGCAAGCCAGACTTCAACTCTTGACCCTGGCCTCCACCATGAACGACTTACAGGCAAACGTAATAGAAGGCATTGCTGGTATGTAAGTTTTGGGCATGACGTTTGTTTAATCTTCATTGACTCACTTATCTTTCCATTTTATTCTTGCTCTGCACTTATAGGCTCATAAATATGCTGCGAAACCCTATTGCGGACCAGGGGAAGTTTGGCAAGGTTGACTTACAAACACAGTTCTATAAATGTTATGTGGCCTGTACTGGGTCATCAGTAGGTTCAGCAAGAACTGAAAGTAGAAAACCCAAGAATCAGGTGAACTACTGTATTTTCACTAATTATTTGCCAACTTTGAATAAATTATTCACACATTGGTGAGTAACTTTTCACACATTTCTTCTAATTAAATTCACTGGATAGACCAAAGAACCAAAATAGGGAAGAAATAATTGCTAGTAATCATCTTTTATTTAAAATAGCGAAAGATAATTTTTTTAAAATCTAAGTAAAACATATTATTGTTCTTTGATCATATGCTGGTCATTACAGCCGAGGGAGGGTGGGTGAATTATTCCTTCCCTATTTTGGTTCTCTGGTCTATCCAGTGAATTTATAGGTCGAGCCAAAGCTCTCCCAAAATTTGGTGAGACCGTCAAACCAAAATAGGGAAGGAATAATTACTACTTCCAAGAGGCACCATATCCAATGCGTTGAAAAAATTATCATCATCCACAATGCCCTGATCTTCGTCTTGCTCCATATACTGCTCTGTAATATCACTCCATCTCTATAGTAGCAGAGGGTGCAGTCATTGGCAGTTGTAAGACTAGACTGGTAAAGTCGGCAGTGGAGATGTGATTGCATTGGTAATGTCAGTGAAAGACTATGTCCAAAGACCAGCTACCAAGTGTGACTATCTCTTTGACAGGCATTCCTCTGTCCATCGCCAAGGAAGATGCAAGAGACCAAACAGACACTGATTGATCTGTTGAGAGATGTACTAGATCCCGAAGCCAGGTGGAGATAGTTGTAACCTTAACAGAGATAGATGGTGAATGAGATTTCACAAAGAGAGCTGTGGGTGGTTGGGTGGCAGCTTGGGGATGATCCCTGAGTGCTAAGAATGCTTGAATCAGACACAGTGACTTCGTAGTATGTGGTTGAATCATAATGGTCTTTACAATCTGTTGACCTCGTCTGCATTCCTTTGGTGCATGTACATCAAACACAAGTGCTCCCATGTTGGTCCAGAGGTAAGCTGAGGTAAGCTGTAAGCAGTGCAAATCAGAGGGCCTGAGGAAGGCAGCCATGGCAAGCAGGAAGGCCGTTTTCTGTGATAGTGCTGCGAGGGATGAGGAGGCAAGAGACGGAATCGAAGCAAGGAAGGAAAGAGTTGGAGTTAGGTCCACGTGGGTCTTGTGATGTCGAGTTGGAGGAGCCATAGTAGCCAAGCGAGCAAACAAGGAATGGATGTCTTTATGAGTATAGAAGGAAGTAGGATCTCTATGCAACTTGAGGGCTGCTGTACAATGGTTTTTAATAGTCCCTAAACTATACCCTAACGAGTGATCGTATACCAAAAAGTTAATGAGGTCATGGACTGAAAATTTGGTGATGGAAACGTTGTGTTGTAGTGCCCATGCAATGAAGATATGTTGTCCGAGTTGGTAAACTCTGTTCGTTGGTGTGTTCTCCAGAGCGCCTACCATGAAGATGTTAACTGACTCTGCATTGAGTCCTGTATCTTGGAACTAACACTTGAGACTCTGTATGCGCCTAGTCTCCACCGAGGGTTCTTCAACGGTGTGGTATACACACCACAATTGAGTGAAGAACAGACCCCACAACCAAACACTGGTTCCTTATTGCTAATGAACCTGGCAAGTTAACAATCTCTGGAACTGTTACACACCAGGCACACGTACACTACACACTCATACAGTGTAAACCAATCATTACACAACAGGGATTTGAATTACAGGGATTTTAATAGTAGCAGATATAAACAATATTATTGAGTCTCTTTAATAAATAACACTCTCACAGTATCTACTTTTCCCATTATTGAGATACTAACCCATAAACAGTCCCAAATACCTCAAACGGCCAAGGTATCTTGGGGGAAGCCAGAATTATGTCCTGGGATGTCAAGAGGAGAGGGGGACCTATACTCATCTGGAGGAGCAAAGGGTACCACCATTTACTCAGCCAAATCAGTGCTACTATTGTCGCCACTAGGTCCTCTTGCCAGATCTTGTGCAAGCACTGTCCAATCAGGTTCCAAGGAGAATTCAGGTAGCAATTGGCCCATTGAGACCATGGTATCAACATTGCATCTGTTGCTGTCGCCTTCAGATCTGGTCTCCATGAAACAAAAGTTGGGAGAAGGTGGGTCAGCTGGTCCGCAAATAAATCCACTGAATGAGGACCCCATGTCTGTTAGATAGCTTGAAAAGCTGAACAAGACAGCTTCCACAAGTTCTTTGTAAATGTGCAACGAGATGCCAAATCCGCCTCCACATTCTCCTTGCCTGCTATATGCTGGGCTGTCAACCTCAACCCACAGTGCAGACACAGCCTCCATATCTTGGTAGCCAGTGTCATCAGATGAAAGGCCTTGGAGCCACTCTGCTTGCTCAGGTACGCCATTGAGATAGTGTTGTCCGTTCTGACAAGTGTGGATGAGTGCTGTAGGGAGGGGAAGGTTTGTAGGGCAAGATTTACCGCCTTCATTTCCCACCAATTGATAGACATTGTGGTCTACTGGTGGAACCAATATCCATGGATTGTCTTGTTCCCTAGTGCACATCCCCATCTGGTGTTGCTCACATCGACGAACAGAACATGCTTGTTTTGTTGTGGTAGGAGCAATCAGCCGTTCCATTGTGAGATATTGCATTCCCACCAGTGAAGTTCCTGAAGGCAGGTCTGAGGCAATGGTTGTGGTGTATCCCACCCTTCGTTCTTCTTCACGAAGCTGTTCTTGAACCACATCAAGTGTTGCATGTAGAGTCTGGCTGGAAAGAGTGCGATCATGGCTGCCTGGATCCGCATCATGAGACTGTGGACCAAATGAGGAGTTGTAAATTTGTGTTGTATCAGTTGTCGTATTAATCGTTGTAAATCCCTCAATTTGGTACCTGGAATCTTGGAAACCATGTTCTTGGTGTCCAAAAGATAACCCAAATGTTCCAGTTGTTGTGATGGCTGGAGTGACAATTTCTTTATGTTTAATATCCAGCCAAGAGAAGTGAGCTTGTTCATCAACATCTTGGTATGAGTGATTGATTCTTGGTATAAGTTGCTGATAATAATCCAATCCTTGAGATAGGCACTGATTTGCATTCCCAAGGTTCGAGCCCATTCTAGTACTGGACAGGTAACTTTGGTAAACAACCATGGGAAAACCGATAGACCAAAAGGAGTTGTATGGAACCGGTAATCTTGACCCTCCCAACGAAAACGTAAGTATTTCCTTGATGCCTTGTGGACTAAGATATGAAGGAAGGCGTCGGACAGGTCCAAGGAAGTTAGATAATCGTGTGGGTGGATCAATTTGCATATATTCTGCAGTGTCTCTATCTTGAAGTGGGGTGCCTTGATGAGTTTGTTTAACTTCTTGAGGTTGAATACCGGTCAATGACCACCATTCCTCTTTGGTATCACAAACAACGGGCTGCTAAATCCACTGGAATTTGGTGGTACCTTCTCGACAGTTTTCTTGAGGATTAATTCCGCGATCTCCTGTCTCAGAAAATGTTGTTGATCGTCCAATATTGGTACTGTTGGGCAATACTTGTTAGACAGTTTTGGCATCCTGTCAAAGTGGATGCAACAACCTTTTCAAATAACGCCACTCAGCCAGCTGCTGTTGAAAAGTTGGGCCCAGACATTGGCAAACTTGCTCAGACAGCCACCAACAGGAGTATTTATTGTTGTTTGTTGCTGCTGCTGTGGTTGACATTGTGTCATGGTTGGTTGTTGTTGTTGTGGTTGTGTGACATATGATGTTTGATTGTAAAGAGTGTTTGTCCAGACGACAGCTAGAAATTCGAAGTATAGTTCCAGATTTTCAATCTCAGTGCAGTCAGTGCCAAGGAGCAGAGCAGAATCTTCCAAGAAGTTTTACAGCAAAAAAATAGAGTAGACTTTAGGTGCTGTTTATTAATTGAGATTTTGAGATATTTATACTCGTAATTATTGATAGAAAAAAAGATAAGATATAGATGTAGATCAACGAGACTGGAAATTTGTAAGCTTGGTTAAACAAAGGGAAATCTTGCAACACTGAAAAGAGAAGATAAGATTCGAGATCTAACAATTTGGGGAGATCAGAATGAGGTCTGTGCTTCACAAGTACAACGATTAAATTAATAGCCAAAGCCAAAAAAGACAATAACTGTTCATTACAGTCACAGGGTTTTCCCACAAGGCAAGGCCATTCCTCTTGTTCATCCTTCTAGCCATGCTTGGAACTTAGTTTCCGAATGCTGAACTTCTTCTGCTGGGACCATACCGTATCGACTTTTAAATGGAATAAAAACATTGCCATTTATCACACCCTTTAATTGAAGAAAGTTTGGGCCAGTCAATTGGTAGGTTCCGTTTTCGTAGACGTGGGATACTGTCATTGGGCCTAACCAACGATCCAAAAGCTTTGCAGGAGAATTTTGGTCCTTCATTAGTACTTGTTCTCCTTGTTTGAACGGTTTTCTTGGTTTCACGCAAAGATCGTATTGGCTCTTGGCTTGCTCTTGCCTTTTCCTTGTTTTCTCTTGCACTTCTTCATGAACTTCAGGCATGAGATGTTCAATGACTTTGATCCGATCTTGAACTTCTGTACTTGCATTTCTTGTAATAAATTTGGTAGTAGAAGAAGACCAGGTAGAAGGTGTCCGCATGTCATAGCCCAAGAGGAGTCGTGACAGAGAGTACTTAGTGATATCATTTACCATAGAACAGATAACCATGAGTGTTGCTGGTACGAACTTATCCCATCTGTCTTAAGATTCCTTATCCCTGGTTAACTTGCTTAAGGTTTGAACCAGTGTTTGGTTCATCCTTTTGCATAACCCATTGGTTTGTGGCTGATACGCAGTAGTGGTTAAGTGGTGATAATCCAGTATTGATAGAAATTTCTTAACATATCTAGAAGTGAAGTTACTACCTCTGTCAGTGAGGATGTAGTTGGGTACACCATAAAGAGAGACTATTGAGCCAAACATAAATCTCGAAGTTGTCTTTGCATCAATTTTATTGACAGCTGCTGCAATTGGCTAATGGGTCAGATAGTCTACTGTAACCAGAATGTACTTGAATTTATTCTTTGAGCGAGTCATGGGTCCCACCGCATCGCATCCTACCATAAAGAATGAGTGCATTGGTGTCTTGATTGGTCTTGCTACCTCATTGCGTGCTTGTGGCTTCTTGCATCACATTTGGCAGGGAATATATGTGCGGACCACTTGTTCAGATAGTTCGCGCAGACCTGGACCAGTGTATTGCTAACATACTTTCTTCCAAGTCGCAGTTACGCCATAATGACATTCTTGGTGAACCCTTGTAAGAACTTGAGCTGCTATATCTTGATGGAGTAGTTCTTTCCCAAATCCAGAAGCTGAATCCTTTGTAAAGAGTTTTCCATTATGTGCCAAGTATCTGGGTGCCAGTCTTTGTATTTTTTGCTTGTTGTTTTGATTTACACCAGGGGGTAACAATTTTGTGTAATAAAAGTAAAAAGGGGCAATTAGAGTGTATATTCCATTTTTTTTTAATAAATAATAATAATAATTGTGGGTAAAGATATAGAGGTTGGTTAAAATGTAGTGAATTGATAAAAATATAGGTAAAAAGAATAAAATATGAGTTTGTAAAAAAAGGGGCCGTCAGAAGGAAATAAAAGAGATACAAAGTAAAATAGTCAAGATAAAAAGCTTGCCAAACGTGAAGTAAATCAAAAGGATTTGAGATACTACTGGGTTGGCAAGAGATGAGAGAGGGCATCGGCTGGATTATCCTGACCAGGCGTGTATTGAATTTCAAAATCATACTCCATCAGTGCAGCGGCCCATCTTGACAACTTTGTAGAAGGATTTGGGTTCTTAACAACAAAGACTAAGGCGGCATGATCAGTGTGTAAGATGAATCGTCATCTGGCCAGATAGTGCCTAAACCGGGAAGTACCCCATACAAGAGCAAGAGCTTCGAGGTGTGTTGCGGCATATTTTTTTTCAGAATCACGCAGTGCTCTTGAAGCATAGGCAATAACCATTTCCTCCTCTGGATTACCACGGACAGCTTGAGACAACACCGCACCCAAACCTCTAGTTGATGCATCTGTTATCAGTATTTGGATCTTGTCTTTATCAGGAAAATCAAGAATTGGCAGGTTTACTAAGGCTTGCCTGAGAGTGTTGAATGCATGCTGCTGTTCTTGAGACCAAATAAAAGAGCATCTCCTTATTTCATCCTACAGAGAGTTTGAATTTTAAAAATCCTACAACCAAGTGATGGTCTTTACTTTTTGGTAAATTTCAGAATTGTTTTTGTTTTTGTTAATAAACAAAAACATTTTTCTTATATGTTAAACCTTTTGATAATATATTATTTTTTTATTATCTTTGAGTTTTTAAGTTTCTAAAGTATGAAGGATTCTTGCTTCTATATTTATCTATCAATTGTACAGCATGTGCAAGTGCTCTTTCTATCTCTTTTGCATCTGTTTGGTCTAAGTCCGGAATTGTCTTCAAAGTCTGTAGATCTTCAAAACAATGATGCATTGTTGTAGAATATGTTGCAATTCTATCGAAGACATGTGCATCTCTATGCTCAACAACACGTCTTTCCTCTACTATTTCCCCTACTTCACCTTCGTTTTCATTTGTATAGCCTTGTCTGCTCAACTCTACTCATGCAATCTCTCTTCCCTTGAAAAATCCAAATTCGACATCACAGTAGCATTTCAGCAAGAATAAATGCTTACAAGAGATTTGGCGAGACAAGAAGTTTGGACATGTACAGTCTTGTGTCAAATTGTTGTTGACATTGATAGTATACCATCTATCCTGAGTAACAAAAGACTTTATCTGCCATTCACCATTATAATCAACCATGCTATTACCAGTCTCACCCAGAGAATTGAGAATCATAGAAGGAAGCATGTCATCTTGGATCTTTGATGCAGCAAAAGAATTTCTTGACAACTCATTTTCAGTGGGTCCCATTTTACCATTATTGAAATGGATGCGCTCAACTTTCTATTCATAAAAGAACTCAACATCATTTGTCAAGATGAAGATGAGACGATCCAATCTTCTTATGTGTGCGTGACCAAAGTAAATGGTCTTAAGTTGATTGTGCCATGATTCAATATAATTGTTTGTTACATATCTTTGATGTTGCTGGCTAACGTAAGGGCGCCTCCATCTTCTTAACAATTCTTCATTTTTGGTCCATTTCTTTTCAAAGTATTGCAGAAATTGAGATTGATCTTGGATCAACTACTTGAAATTATTGATGGCTTTTAAAAATGTTTCTTTGTCTGACTCAATGAGAATCTGTCTCAAGTAGTTTTTCAATGCAATCTTATAGTTTCCAAGTTGTTCTGAAGTGAAAGACGCGTTTAACTTAATCTTACTGTCAAGATTATGTTGCTATGCGCAAAGAACATGGAAATCACAATAATAAATTGCTGCTTGAGGCAATGCTTCTTTGATTGCATTAACCTCTGGAATGCTGCAATCAATTGTGATGTTCATTGGTGCGAAACTACTCTTGTTGCAAAGATGATGGAACCAATGGTAGATTGGAACAGCCGTCTAATTGTTGGTTACCATATATGCAGCAGGGAAGTCTTTTCCTGTCTACGGATGACGAGTGACTTAAGTGTATAATACTTCATCATTTCGGGATGAAATACAATGTGTGGCATCAAGACAAAAAGATCGTGACATTCTCATAATTGACACTTGTGTTGGTGATTGGAAACTGATAGCGAATTGTTTTTTAACATTGTTGTAGACAGAAAGATTGATATCAAAGATGCAATAATTCAGTGATGCTAACTTCACGTTTAACCAGATAGAAATAGATGCATTTTCATCAGAAGTAAACATATATAACAAAGTAGTCATCTATTTGATGTACATAGTATTTATTTAATTTAAAATCTTTATTGTGTATTCATTGACAAATCTTTCTCATTATATTGTAAATTTCTTCATAATTAGGCTTTCTAACACCCACACCCCAATCATCGATCTGTCTCAACACAGAAATTCTGATACTTCTACAGCTGCTGCCACTTTTCAACTGTTCTTCGATTATTCTAATTGCCTCAGAAGGCAAAGGAAGTGTTCTGACTTCCTCTCTCTCACCAGGAACATGGTAGACACGAGCTCTTGTTCGGCAGAAAGTGACAACATTACGGTTGCTAATGTACTGCTTAATCTGCAGAGCAGCTGTACAAGAACATGTCTTTGTGTCCTTTTGAGCAATGCGTGTCTGGTGTTGAGATTTATATTTTCCAGCACGGTGACATTTTCTTGTTTCTCCAAAAACTAAATTTGCTTTGATATGTTTATGGTTTTTATTCCACTTTGTTGAACAGAGCTTATTAATTCGCACAAGACATTGTTCCCATTCACTAGCTTTAACTGATATTGTTGTATTTAAAGGAAGCATCTTGATTCCTTCTAAAAGCAAATTGATCAAGACTTGCTGGACATTGGAGATATCGTAAATAGTGTTATTTGTATTGTGAGACATATTAATGTGTGTTTTTCAGGAAGGAGAAAAAAGTGTTTGTTAAAAAACAATTCCCAGATGTAGAATAAAAAATGCCACCAACTGTTATTAAATTTAGAAAGCCAGAACTGCATCAGCTACTAATTCAAACTCTCCATAAGATAAAATAAGGGGCTTCAATATATTCTACAATCGGAGTTTTCTTGAGATAAAATTGAAAAGATTTCAAAACTTTGATGTTTATGCTCGAACACACCATATGGAAGAAAGCTTGAACAAGTGACCCGTGCTTACCAGAACTATTGTTCCCAATATATGTTTGGCCAAGGAGATCAATTGATTTTAATTTTGTGATTCGGTTATTTACAAAATATTGTGACAATCTGGCATCGTGGTAAGAAATAAGATTAGGTATAACATAGGCGATTTTATAATAATCTAACAATTGAGGATAATCAATATCACTCATTGTTGATTCTTTTAAGGACTGTAAAGGAAAGGAGGATGGGGGGAGTGGCTCATTGCCTTTGATAGGTGCTGCTCGACTTAAAAATGAGTCTACAAATTGTTGCGGTCAGAAAGGTTGTTGGTTGGTTAGAGTATAAGTGACATAGGTTGTTATAGATGCAGTCGTGGAGGTAAGTTTTTCGAAAAGAGGAAGGAATGGAATGAGACTTGGACATGATAACATATTTTGTATGTAATCAGCTTTGTATATGTCTGCAGTGAATTTTGTCATATAGGTTGTTTTAAACCCGTCTTTTCTGTTTGTCTTATTATTCTTTAACAAACCATTGTATCTCTCAAAACCAAAGAGCCAATAGCCATACACGAATCCAAAATCACGAATTGTGTCATGAAGATAGAGGTGCCGGTGCATTTTGCAGGTGAGGACTTTTGGTTCATATATATCTTCACAAGACTGACAGAATTCTTGTAGATAGCTGTGTGCTTGATCTACTTCAATGAAACTGATTGACGGCTTTACAAGTATATGGCATGCTTTTACATAGTGCATCCAGCCATTGAACATATTGGATGGAAGAACCAGTTTCAGAAGCATGGGAGAATACACCAATACCCAAGACTTCCACTCATCTGCTTTCATGTGGGAAAAGTCCTTTCCTGTCTTCGTCTTCAGCTTGGTATAGTTGCTGGGAAATATCATTGTTGCTGCAACTGTCTGCATTGCAAGCAGATCATTGTTTTTCATTTTTTTGATTTTTGTCCATGTTTCAATCATTCTCTTTGGTGTTCCCAGAAAAAGATTATGCATGGAATCAATGATCATTCCACGTACTAGATCAAAGTATCCAAGGCAATACAACTGCAACCATCGAACACCATATTCAACCTCCAGCTGCTGCCTTTCTGAGGGTGTACTCGCACTATTCCACTCCTCAGCATGCACACGGTTTGCTCTATCACTTCGATGGCGCCATTGCTGACAATCAAATCCACGAAGATGGACCAAAGAAGTGCCTGGTAGACGAGAAAATTGATTGTTGCATTTGTAACAGGCGCATGTGCTGGTATGCGCAGTGAACCTACTAGTCTTTCTGACTGCAGGTATATCACATGCAACCATCAATAAGGCTGCACGAACTGTTGCACCGTCTGTTTGCTAGTAGATAGGTATCTGTATTCCAAGATAGAGCTGTATCATTTTGTCAACTAATGGCTTGAAATAATGATTGATCTCTTCTGATTTTGGCTCTTTTGGTCTGGGCATGAGGCCAACAAGGATTGTATTTTCTGCTTTAAACTGCTCACTTCTAGGCAGGTTGTTAATCACCAGGTAGATAGCACCGCAGGAATAGCTAGTACCATTGAAAGGCTGAAAACAGTTGATGTTTAATGTCAGCATCAATGAACAAAAATTCTCTACAAAAATTTCATTGTCATTGCCCTTCAAATCAGTCCAGGCTTCACCATCGCAAACATCACACAATATAGCAGTGATCTTGAACTCTTGGTTCCAGTGCATGATTTTTTGCTCAAAATCGAGACAGAGGAAAAGTATCTTAAGAGCACGTTTGAGAGACTGATATACATAAGACTACTTTGCGACCAAACCACCAGACAATGATTGGACCATTAATTTGCAATTACAAGTGGTATGTGCACCAAGCTTTATGAAATCACAGTTCAAAGGAGCAGCTACACTTTCCTCATACACCTTGTAGCAATCCTGACACACGACAAATCTCTTAATCTCTTTTGTCATGACTGAGAGTTCTGTCATGCTTTGGAGACCAGATAGACTCACAGGCAATTGGAAATCCTGCTTGTAAATTGACAAGAGCTTTTTGATGAACTCAATCAAGACAACAGTACCCTTATTGACTACATAGTGGGAAACAAACATTACCACAAAAGTAGCAATAAACCTGTGTACCGGATTTTCAGGCATATTTGTGGTGGCAAAAGGATCTATTGTAAAAAAAAAACAAAAAAATTAACACCCCCCCTTTTTTCAGATTTTTCTTTTTTGGTTCTTTTCCTTGAATTTTTTTTTGGGTCTTTTTTTTTATTAATTAATTAACATGAACTGACCTTCAGTATCGAATTCTTCGACTTCAATCTCAACAATATTCTCTTCATCGTCTTCACTTTCTTCACTGCCGTTGCTTTCTTCGTCATTGTCATTTTCATCACCATCACTGCTTTCGTCATTCAGCTCATTGCTTGTGGTGATCCAGATACTCAGATGTTGGATTTATCACATATAAGAACATATTCATATTGGAATAGCGTAGTAGCTATCATCTTGTCAGTATAAAATATATATAAACGATTAAGTAATCAGCCCAATAATTATTACAGTTAGTACTGTAGATAATATCTTAAAGATTGTTAACATAATTATATCATACTGCCAGGTAAACTGTGTCAGATCGATATGGAGCTAATTTAGTAGGAAGTCCTAAAGCTCTAGTATAAAAGAGAAAAGAATAGCTAAGAGCTAAAGAAGTACGATTTATGACTTGATGTCATAATTGTAACACCAACACTAGTTAAGCAGTAAATACACTCTAATAACCAAATATAGTAAAGGAAGAAAGCCTTAAGAAACTAAGACGTAATGACAAGAGTAGATTGTGTTTTCTTATAAAAAGGGACACTTTTTATTTATGAATAAAGACAACTTATATACAGTCTCAAAGTATTTCTATACGTCTCTATTATCAAATTTATTATTTTTCTATTGTTTTGTACCTGAAATACCACATTGCTAAAAGCAATCTCATTGTCAGAAATTGGGGCTCCTTCCCAAACAGACGAGTTGGTCCGACTGCCAATTGCTTCTATGGGTCGGGTTTGTTGGTTTGATGTAGCTACATATAGAATTCAATTTTTAGTTTACTTCTCTTTTCATCACAATTAACATTTCTTACTTTCAAAATCAATATCCACGAGATTTCTTTGAACAGATACATCTATTGAAATAAAACATTATATAAAATAACTAAAATGAAAACGAAAATAAAAAACAAAACATATTTCTTTCACTTCTTTCCATGTCTTCATATCTTGCTCTTTTATTGTGACACTGGAAGGTTTGTGTAGAAACAAAGCTGTAGCCTTGTTGATTATCGCTGCATTTTGTGCAATAGCACTTCTTATTATAAAGTTCAGAAGTAGAGGACATGTTGTTTATTTTGTTATTGTTGTGGGGAGAAAATAAAGCAAAATATAATATAGACGAAAGAATTCGTGAGAACTTGTGTAGGTTGTTTATTTCAAAAGAAAAGTAAAGAATGATAAAATTCGATTGATTTTCTACACGGAACTATCTACTGATATTTATATGTTTTTCTAATTTGTAATTCAGTGTGTGCTTAAGTAATCTTTATCACGATGAGTCATCTTCCAGGAGTATTGTTCTTCTGGAAAGATCCGGAAAGACCAATTGATATGATACTTCTCCAGTCAGATCAGTCCAAGAGTTTTGGTAAAGAAGAGCATTTATGCTATTGGTAATATTTTAGTATTCCGACCCAGATACTCGGGTAATGTTTCATAATATTAGATAGTTGTAGTTGTAGTCTCTCAATTAAGTATTTGTATAATAAAAGAAATATGTAGATGAAATATAATGATGCCATATATATAATGTATATGTATTTGTATATCCCATGTCATGGTGATAATAATAAATAATCAATTATGTGTATGATGATCTGTGTATTAGATAATATCATAAAGGGAGATCCGTTTGACTGGAATAGCTGAGGATATTATTTTATCCTTCAGTCTTACTCTCAGATTCAGCAGTAATCAATACTCATTCACAACAGTTATAAATGTTAAGATAAAAGGGAAACAAGTGTTACATTTACTTTATTTGTTCAAACTTTATAATAATAATAATGATAAAATGACTTGGATGATTATTATATCCAAGCCAATAGAAAATTATAACATAACTTTATGAACATGTATACCAAAAAACATGCTAAGATAAAAAATTGCTCTAAATATCCACACGTAACCATGAGTCTTCACACAAGGGTATTCAGGATCATTTCTCCAGTGTACAGCTTCTTTATTTCCAGAAAAAGTTGCTATTTTCTTCTTGTACATCATCATTCTTTTTGCCCATTTCTGATGATATGCAATCACATCTTCTCTTTCATGACTGTGGTATACACACCACAATTGAGTGAAGAACAGATCTCACAACAAAACACTGGTTCCTTCTTGCTAATGAACCTGGCAAGTTAACCATCTCCGGAACTGTTACACACCAGGCACACGTACACTACACTCATACAGTGTAAACCAACCATTACACAACAGGGATTTGAATTACAGGAATTTGAATAGTAGCAGATATAAACAATATTATTTTGTCTCTTTAATAAATAATACTTTCACAGTATCTACTTTTCCCATTATTGAGATACTAACCCATAAACAACTCTGAATACTTCAATGACCATTGTAAAATATGTCTTTAGAGCTATTTCTAAAGACATAACCCCATTTATGAAGGTACTTCCAGATTGTAGTTGTAGAAATATTTCCAGATATATCAAGCTTTGTTGGCAAAATCTCTCCATTATTATATCTCTTCACTTCGATCACATTTTGACTTTCTGGTCTCTGATTCTAAATTCATTTACAGATAGTAGACTTTATATCATCATTTGAAAAAAAAGAAAGCCTTCTAAAATGCTTTCCTTGTTAGTGCAAAGCAATTTAATGGAAATCAGCATACTTTTTGGCATACTATCTTATAGCAGCTAAACAATAAGAGTTTTTGTGAAGTCATATTTCCATCAATGCTTTCTCTGAAGCTTACATAATTTTGGCATCTGATATTCTGTATTGAAGGTAGCATTCAACGGATTTAAACTTACAGAGATTAAAAACATGAACTGACTGAGAAAAAGGATCTGTGCGAGTATAAGAGAAAATCTCTTTCTTAATATCTTCATACGCAAGTTTAAGTACAGCAATTTTGTCAATCTCTATGTTTTCCAACTTACTGACAATAGATTCTTCTAATTCAATTGAAGCATCTTTTTAAACTTTAATAAAAAAGTCTATATATGTAAGACAGTAGCTTCCTTGCATATTTGAATGATTTTTATCTGCTTTTCTTTTTCTCTACTCAGTTGTTTGCAAATTTTTCTGATAAGTTTTACAAAGCAACTTATCAGCATCTTAATGTCATTTCGGCAGCTGATTTGTATATGCAGCTGAATTAACTTCTTCTGACATTCTCTGGAGCTCTCTGTTGTCCAAAAAAATATTGTCTTCATGGTCAAATTCCAAATCCACATAATCTTCATTTTCCAATTATATTTTTTTTGGTAAAACCTCCACTACTAGTCAATCTGTTTATTTTCTTTGCCATTGTTGCTCTCTTTTTGAGATGAGCCATTGTACACTCCGACAAGATAAAACATCGTCACTTCCTCAGAAATATATCTCTTTTTAAAGCACACCATTTTTCTTTTCCTTTTGCAGAACCTTTTCTTAAAACTAAATCACTCATGTCATCAAGAAATAAAAACACCAGAAGTCCTTCAAAAAGATGTGAATTGTCAGAGTTTGAGTGTGGTGGCATTATTTGGCTATATAAAACCAAAAATATTCAAGCTGAGATCGCAAACCACATGGGTATCCCTAGACCAACAATCAACATCACTATCAAACGTTGGGAGGAAACTGGTACTGCAAAACCAAATACCAGAGCTGGGAGATCTAAGAAACTCAGTGTCATGGATGTTACAAGCCTTTGCTTGAGTGTGAGACGTAACCCTTTCAAGAGTTATGCATATCATTAAAGGAATATGGCAGCTGCAGGTGTCATTATCTGTAGAGACACAGTTATCCAATACCTTAAGGCCAAAGGCTTTGGTTCTTACACCCCTGTTTCTAAGCCAAACTTAACCCATGAACAGAAGAAGAATCGGTTGCGTTGGGCCAAAGCTAGAGCCAGCTTTGGGATTGAGGACTGGAGTAGAGTGATGTGGTCAGATGAGTTGAGGTTTATGCTGAAGGGCAATGATTCTGACACAGCCGTGATTTGTAAGCGAGGGGAGAGACACTAGAAACGACATAAACTAACAACAGAGAAGTATGGAAAGGGTTCTGTGATGGTGTGGGGTTGTTTCTGGGCTGGTGATCTAAGACCGTTATTGTTTCTCAAAGGGTCAGTAGACCAAGACGCATATGTCAATTGTTTGTCTAAGGACTTCAATCCCTGGTATAAAAAATTGAATGATGAACAGAACACTATGTTTACATTTCGAGAATATGGTGCTAGTTGCCATACTGGGTCTTATACGACGTGGTGGAAAAACCGTTGGGAAATTAAATGTTTTAACTACTGGCCATCACAAAGTCCAGATTTGAACCCTATTGAGCACGTCTGGCATGCCATAAAAGCCAATGTTCAAGAGAAAAAGGCCTCTATAAACAATGTTGAAGAGCTCAAGGCTTGTATTCTTCAGGAGTGGGAGAGACTTGACCCAGGACTTTTTTGTACTCTTGTAGCAAGTATGCTGGATAGAGTTCAAGCAGTTATAAAAGCTCGTGGTGACCACACCACATATTAGACCCTATCTTATTTTTTTTATTTCTATAATATATATACTTATATCTATAATAAAACGAAGTTTCACTTTATTTAGTTGAGTTCTTTAGAAGATATACTGTAAAGAAGTTGATATGTAGTTTATTCGGGACTAGAAATCAAGGAATCTGACTGTGATTTATTTGGCACGAGTTTAGAGTGTTTGAAATATAAGTGTGTTAAGCTTGAGTAATAACACTCAAGAGAGACCAAAAAAATAAAACGTACACAAAAAAAGTTGAACTCACACATACATGAATTTTCTTTCTAAGAAATTACAATCTAATGTCCGTCAGGGACAGCCATTTAATTTGTTTCAATATTGTAAAAACCAGATAAAATCCGCTGTAAATAGACCAATACATCCCAAATTTAAAAGTCTAAGACTTTTTATTCAGAGTAGTTAGAGCAATTGTAAACTCTTAATTCTATAGATAATAGTCATATCTATCAAATTAAAAGTTCAGACTTATATTAACATAAGTTTTGCAAATGTTATAAACTTTTAAAAACCACCCAAAGACTTATATATTTATCTCCAATCGCACCAAATATCAGCAATATGGTCCTGTCCGGATCGGCCGCCTATTGAGCTCGATCTGGACTGAAGGGATATTTCTGACAATCTTGGGCCGTCGGAATCCAGAAGATAATAATATCGTAAAAACATATATGCTAGTAATAATAGTTTTGCTTTCTTATAAATATATAGCTTGTATCATACCTCTCTCAAATAATTCCAAAATTGTTCATATATCCTGTCTCCTCAAGATTCTAATTAAAATTAGATTGGGTTTAATCTATAGATAATAATACAAGATATATTGGAATATACTTCTATAGCCGATTTTTATTCCACGGTATATATTTACAAATCATTCACAATCGCATTGTTATTTATATTTTTGTTAATACTTATAATGTATGATAGAAGCTATATATAATAATATAATTTAAACTATGTTTTCTAGTATGTTTCATAAATAACACACTATCCAGATCCATACACATTCTTCTATAATTATACTTAATGAAATTGGATCAAAAAGCATCAAACATTTTACACCAAAAAAGCAAGAGCCTACAGAAAAATATTACCGAGTCAAAATGAAAAGGGTGATATTCATAAACCAAAAGTAACTTTCGAACTAAATATATATAAACTGTTATCATGTTTTGGATACATTATCTTATATATGTTATTATTATTATTCAACACACTGGCACACACCAGAAGCTACTCCCGAACTATATACATATATGAGCCTCTATCATATTTTGGATATACTATCTTGTATATTTTATTATTATTATTCAACACACGGACACACACCAAAAGCTACTCCCAAAATATATATATATACGAGCCTCTATCATATTTTGGATACACTATCATATATATTTATTTTCCTTTTATTCAATATACGGTTACACACCAGAAGCTACTCCCAAACTATATATATATAACCTGCTATCATATTTTGGGCTTACTATCATATATTTTTCTTTTCTTTTATCCAACACACGCACATACGCACATACGCACACTCGCCCAATTGTCTACCAATACAATTGCTGCACTGATACAAAATATACATATTGTCTATTTCTTTTTGTGTCTTTTTACAACCTAAGGATTCTACTCGATAATTCGGACAGAATGCACTTTTTTGTAAATTGGTATTACCAATTGGTTGCGCAGACAGCTTTGTGTATCCCTAAGCTAAAGGAACATAGCAGGGTCCATTGACAGGGATACTGTTACCCATACATAGGTTGAAAGACCGTCTTGTGATCACTTACAATCGCCCAGAGAG